TTTTAAAGTTTTTTTAAAAGATTTCATTTACTTTTTTTTAAAGATTTTATTTATTTGACAGAGAGATACACAGTGAGAGAGGGAACACAAGCAGGGGGAGTGGGAGAGGGAGAAGCAGGCCTCCCGCTGAGCAGGGATCCCAGGATCCTGGGATCAAGACCTGAGCTGAAGGCCGATGCTTAGCAACTGAGCCACCCAGGCACCCCATGAATTCTGCACGTCTAAGAAAAAAAAAAAAAAAGAATAGCCAGCAGGGAATTCAGGGACCAAGGTGGGGGAGATCAGAAGAACAAAAAAGAAAAGCATGGTGGCGGGGGGGTGGGGGGGGGTAGGGGGAGCAAAGAGGAGGAATTTGAGGAAAGGCCCTTTAGGAACTGTTTGAAGTCAAAGATTTAAGTGACTGGGTATCAGATTTCAGCCTGGAGAAAAACTGAAGAAGGACCCAGAAAGTTATATGTCAATGCAACTATAAACAGCTGATTTTCTGTGTGCGTGCACGCACGTACTTATGCGTGCACACATGCACACACGCACCACAAGCCCAGTGGTTTCCTTTCCTCCACATTCCACTAATATCCTGCTTGTGACCCGGTCCTGCTGAGATGATAAAGCCAGGATAAATTCGGTTGCGTGCTCCTAGCTACTCCAAAGCAGCCCCATCATGAGTGCTCTTCTTCTTCTTCTTCTTTTTTTTTTTTAAAGATTTTATTTATTTATTTGACAGAGAGAGACCCAGCGAGAGAGGGAACACAAGCAGGGGGAGTGGGAGAGGGAGAAGCAGGCTTCCTGCCGAGCAGGGAGCCCGATGCAGGGCCCGATCCCAGGACACTGGGATCATGACCTGAGCCTAAGGCAGACGCTTAACGACTGAGCTACCCGGGCGCCCCGATGAGTGCTCTTCTGTAAACTTGGGGAAGGAAGTGAATGATGTGTCTGTCTGGCATGAAAAGGTCCCCCTTGAATGGGGTGGGAAGCCACCCCCAAGCCCAGGCAGGCTGCCTCCAGCTGGGCTTGTTTTTGTTTTGGTTGCAGAGTCACCAAGACCTCTGGAGAAACAAAGCAACTGAATTTTTTTTGTTCTAATGAGTCAAACTTGCCAGGGACATGAAGCTCAAGTCTGCCCACAATATTCTTATGCTTCCCTCACATAAAGCCAGAAGTTCTAGCCAAAAGCTCCTTTCCTTCCCCCACATGAGCTATTATTCTGTAGCTCTGTAGCCGTAACTCTTAGGCTTCTAGACCCCACGAGGAAAACCATGCTGTCCTAAGAAATTCATTCCCATTAAATATCACTTTCCTGTTTGTTTTTAGGGAGATCATTTAGAAAATGAGGTAAAGAGAACTGCCCTTTCTTTTCTGATGGGGAACAAACATCTGGACTTTCAGTTTCATGACATCACTGAGCGTGTGACCTGGATCCATTTCAGGGGAAACTGCAAGAACCCAGGATTTTACCCAAAAACGAGAAGCCCATTTATTTCTCTGTTTTATTGTTGCTCATGACCACCGAGTGCTCCCAGCCCTGCTGTTAGTGGCTCACTGGACCGAGAAGGTCTGGCCAGGAGAACTGAGAGATATAAAGCCCTTTAAGTACAAGGGCATGAGTCCTTTTTAAGAAGGTGCCCTGGGAAACCAAGCTTGAAGTTCGCCTTTTTTTCCCCCCAGTCTGACAGCAATCTTGAAAGACTTTCACGATGCCAGTGGAACTGATTCCGAGGGCCCTCTGCAGGACTGTGTGCGAGGCTGGGGAGGAGGGAGGTTATGGGGAAGCCATGACACGAGCTCCTGGCTAGGGCTGGCCACCGGGTGCCACTGGGAGTCCAGCAGAAGTCACCCCCAACTGCACATTCACAACTGGCCCAAAGGGCCCTCCAGGGAGCCATCCGGAGACACCGATGACCCCCCCAAGGCCCAACTAGGGGGGTTTCAGGGAGCACTGCCTTAGCTGTCACTGTGCAGACTGAATGCACTGCTCGAACCCTTAGCACTTAGGACACGCTGCTTTCCCAAACATCGCCATGGAACAGTGACAGCAAGCTTGCGACTTAGTTACAAGCCCTGTGTCTCCATGTGAAGTTCTTATGAGATGGATGGTGAGTTCGGCTACAGGAAAGCAACCAAACCATTTCATGCCTTTCCTTTTACAGATGCTTAAATCCAGAGGCAGCAGCAATTACAAACAAACAGACAGCAAAAGGGCCGGAGGTGTCTGACTGGTCTGGAACTGACAAGATGACATCCGTCCAAACCCTGGCTATCCAGCTGGAATCAGCCTGTTTTTCTTACAAAATTCATCTGGACCAGCTCCGGTCCTGGAGAGGCAGCTGTGGAGTAGGGCAGTCGTATCCTAACAGAGCCTTTCTTTCCCTTCCAGTGAAATAAAGACACATCACCCAGGTTTTCTCAGGGTGAGTTTCAAGATCTCCCTGTTAGACTCTAAATTAGCTTCCAGGTGCACAATTTCCGAGCCCTCGGTTTCTTTCTTTCTTTCTTTTTTAAGATTTTATTTATTTGACAGAGAGAGACACAGTGAGAGAGGGAATACAAGCAGGGGGAGTGGGGGAGGGAGAAGCAGACTCCCTGCTGAGCAAGGAGCCCGATGCGGGACTCGATCCCAGGACCCTGGGATCATGACCTGAGCTGAAGGCAGTCGCTTAACCAACTGAGCCACCCAGGTGCCCCGAGCCCTCGGTTTCTAAACTCCTTAAATCCAAGCTAGAGTCTGATGGCAACTTTTCAAATAGAATTTCTCATGGAAATCACAAGTTCCCAACACAGTGGCCGCTTCTAATATAATCTCAAAGGTCTTCCGGGGCACCGTTATTCCTGTTTTAATATTTTATTTTTAAGTCATCTCTATACCCAGCGTGGAGCCCGAACTCACAACCTCGCGATCAAGAGTCGCGTGCTCTTCGACTGAGCCGGCCAGGCGCCCCTCTGGAGCACCATTAAAGTGGGCATCCTATCATCTCCAGTGAAGCTCATTGAAAACTCTTCCTAAAACGTCCCGCTCTTTCAGAGGTCATGGCTTTGTGTCCCTTAAGGGGCACTGCCCCCAAGACGCGACCGCCCTCAAAGAGAAAGAAATCAGGAAAAGCTGTAGCGGCGCTCCCCGGCCCCGCAGAGCGCCACTGTCTCCAACACCTGTTCAATCTGAGTCAGGGGCTGGAGTTATTTAGAAGGTCCTCTGGCATCTGACATATGCAGACTGGGTTTAGGATGGAGAGCAATTCCAAGCTGACTGGAGAAAAACAAACGCCCGACACAGTGTCATGGACCACGTGCATGCGTGTGGTCAGTAAGGCTTTCCACCAATGTGTCGCTTCTCCCGTCCCCACCCCCCACCCCCCCGTCTGCCCATCAGATGCCTGTCGAGTGCCCCCAGGTGCCAGGCACTGAGCTCAGCACTTCGGAGGCCATCCTGCACAAAAGAGTTCTTGACTCCGGGGGCCCATTAGTAACATTTGGGTAACAAATTTCTGCTCTTAGCATGAGCCCTCCCTCCCCCACCCTGCCTGCCCAGGAAATGCCAGCCTCGGGAAGGAGTAAACCTGGGGACGTAACAAGGGTCACATGGCAGCTCGAACTCACGTCTGCCACTTGGCTGATGCTCTTCCCACAAAGAGGTTGTGGTCTCTCTCTCCCCTCCTGTTGAATCTGGCCTGGCTCGAGCAACTCAGTGTGACCACCGGCAAGTCACAGAGGTGATGCCCTGAAAACTTCAAGGCCAGGGCAGAAAGGGCGACGTGGCTTCCACCTTGCTTGCTTCGGTGCTGGCTCTGGGAACCCTGAGTCATCGGGGAAGAAGCCCAATGCCCCCAGGTGCCAGATGTACGAGCCAATGAGTCTCTGGACGACCCCAGCCCCCAGCTTTCTGTTTGGAGCAAAGGCAAGCTGGCCCTATCATGCCCTTTCCAAACTGCTGACCTAGAGAATCCGTGAGTGAAAGACACTGTTGCTCCCTTTCCTCTGTTTGGTGCAGGTGGTTATGCAGCAACAGTAACGGGAGCAGATGGCAAAACCGCAGGCCAGAACGTTCCTCTGTGCCCCCCAGACTCCATCGGGATTCTCCGCAGCAGCGGGGCCTCTTCCCTGCTCAGGGCTCCTCTGATCACAGCCTCTACAGCTTCCCTCCCCAGCACGCTGTCCCAGGCTGTCACTGCTGCCCCCACCCTGCCTAAGCCTTAGCGGTTCGCCTGGCGGTGACCTTCCGCCCCTGGGGGTGGGGGGTGAGGGCCCCTGCTCTGCCATTCCTGGGCTTGAGAGGAACTCGGCTGTAGAGGATCCCGGGCCCTAGAGGAGCGGGAGGGCCTGTAATCACCCACATCCTTCCTTTCTTCCTCAGATTCCCCGGGCTGGAGAGTCAGACCCCATCCCTCTCCTTCCCCTGCCTGGGCACCACTGATAGACTCTGACCCAGTGACAGTGAGTCAGTCACCAACGTATCCAGTCTATCCATTCTTGGAAGGCAGGCAGTCAGGGACTTAGCTCCAACACTCTTCCTGGCCGGCCTACCCCCTTAATATGTTGTTTTAAGAATGCTGACTCTGGGGCGCCTGGGTGGCTCAGTCAGTTAAGCCCCTGCCTTCGGCTCAGGTCCTGATCCCAGAGTCCTGGGATCGAGCCCTGCGTCGGGCTCCCTGCTCTGCGGGAAGCCTGCTTCTCCCTCTGACCCTCCCCCTCCTCATGCTTTCACTCTCCCTCTCTCTGAAATAAATAAATAAAATATTAAAAAAAAAAAAAAAAAAGAATGCTGACTCTGGGGTCAAACCCCAGCTTCATCACTTTCTAATCCTCTGACCGTAGATGACTCACTGAGACTCTCCAACTTCAGCTTCTAATCTGTAAAATAGGGATAGCAGGACCTACCTCATAAGGTTGTTGTCAAGCTCATGGTGAGGGAATCCATGTAAAGATGCCTGGCCTATAGTAAGTGCTCAATAAATTTTAGCCCTTTATCACAGTGTCTTCTCCCGGAAGAAGCATCTCTTGTGACTTACCCCTTGTAAGACTTGAAAGCTGTCGTTGTTGGGTGGTGGGTCCTGATCTGGGTCAACACCAACTCTGTAAGTCACCAGGGAGAAAGACAAGGAGAAAAATGGAGAGTATTAGCTCGGACCATGGCAGCCATGCTGGCTGAAAGTAGCCAAGGGGCCAACCATCTTCCAGAAGCGGAAGGGGTAGTTAGCTAGAAGAAGAGGAAGGCTGTCATGCAAAAGTTGTGAGAAAGAGGTCATGTTCCATGTCAGATCCCAGGGGGCAGGAGAGGCAAGTGGTGCTTACATCCTATTTGAGGTCGCTGGCTGGCGACTGTCCTTCTGCCTTCCTGCACCAGACGGTCCCAGTTATCCAACCATGGGTCTCGATGCCCCACGCCTTTTCCTTTCTGCTGCTTCCTCACGTCTGCCCTGACCTGCTCTTAATTCCCTAAACTTCTGTTCCAACAGTTTTCATATATCCAGGGCGGTGGCGGAAGAATTTATAGTGAACACCTGTATATCCGCCACCGACAGTCTACCATTAACATTTTGCTGGAGTTTATCGCGTATCTATCCACTTCTCTACCACCCATCTTATTTTTTAGATGCATTCAAATAAAGTTGCAAACATCAGTACTTGTCCCCTAAATACTTGAGCATGCATATCATTAACGTTTTGTCCTGGTGCCCCCACATCCTCCCACAGCGGAGATGACCTGAGAAGTGACACTTTTAAGATCAACAACTGAAGACAGAAAGAAAAGGCAAAGTGGCAAAATCCACTTACAACAAGTCCCATGCTTTGACTAGGGTAGTTGTCTTGGCTTAGTAACACACCAACTGTTGTTTTGTGCACCTGTTAATTCTTCATCCCTGTACCTTCCTCGCTCTGAGGAGGAGAACTGTGACCTTGATCACAGGGGGGTGGGGGAGAAAACAAAGAGGCCAGGAAAATTCTCTGTCTTCCCACACTCCCTCCAGTGTTGCAAAGACCTATAAACAGAACACGATTTCTGGCAGGTCTGACCCGAGCTGGGAAGGGAGGTGCTGAATGGCCTCAACCAAGAGTCTTTGGCCGTCCGGTACCGGGGTGCTGACTCCAATGAGTAGACAGCGGACTACAAAACCCCATGTGTGTGCACCTTACTTTTCTTCCTCTCCCTCCCTCTTTCCTACCTATGATGCGCAGGTTATTTCTTGAAAAAAGAGACTAATAGAAAAGGAAAACAGAAGACAACACAGATGTGCCTACCCTCCCAAAGCCAACCTCTACCCTGTCTTATTGCAGGTTTGTCAAGCACTAACCCAAGGTGTGCGTACCTGGAAAGGGGGAACTATGGAGGGAAAGGAAACAGATAGCCCGTATGTTGCTGAGGGCAAAGTTTAAAACCACAAGACGAATTCATGTATTCAGCAAATATTTATTGACTGCCTATGATGTCAGGTACTGTTCTAGTTAAAATCTAGCGTACCTGACACCAGATTTCCTCCCTGAGGGCCTGGGGTTTGGTTAAGATCTTCGTAGTGAGTTCGATGGACTTTGCTATGTGTCTAGGGACTGCTTCCAGGCTGGAGATTCTGAGGGTTGGAGGCTTGTCCTCATAACTGGACATTATTCAGGGATCTTTGAACAACAAATCTCACAGAGATTTTCTTGACACGAAATCCATCCAATTCAGGGGCCTTTCGGGGCTGCCCCCAAAAAGTCCCACCAGAGCCTCAGTGCATCTGAAGTGTCTAATGTATCAAAGTGTTAAGAGGAGAGGTCACATATGGAATTCCCAGCTCTTGGGCATTTTGAGCCCTCACTCGTTTTAGAGACTCTTAACACACATTCCCCAGAGAAAAGTCCTCTATAGGGTAGCTCGGTCAGCATTTGTAAGATCAACAGCTAGGAATCCAATCTTGGGCCTTGTTCTGTGGGTTCTATAGCAGCAGACTCGCTTACTCAGGTGAGCTTCCCAGTGCAGACACAGAGTGCCGGTTACCCCAGTGTTTCTCGGACAGCCTACCAGAATGCCAGGTGATACAGCAGCCCTCGACCTAGCCACAAGGCCTGGCCAGATTGTGGGGCAGGAGCAATGACATTATGTGATCTGAAGGGCATGAGGCACAGTATGGCCAAGAATATGGCAGTCCGGGTCTGCCACTAATAATCTCTCCTTTCTATACTGTGAATTTTGAAATAGGTGTAATTAGCCTTCGTAAGTGGCTTCCATTCCAGCAAAGATAAAACAAGTTGACTTTACTGTCCTAGATGAAATAGGAAGACTAGGGGTAGGGGAAAAGGTTAAGGATGCCCTGTATTACAATAATGAAAATAAAACCAAACATGATAAAAGCTGCCAAATGAAATTTAGCCCCCTCTAGTCTTTTAACTAATTGCTATTAAAAGGAAAAAAAAAAAAACTTTGGTTAACAAGAATTAAATTTTGTTCAACCAGAACTGCTTAGGAAGACTAGGTTGTGACTATTTTCATTCAAGTTCTGGCAATGTCGGAGGAACTCATCCATTTATCCTGGGTCCGTGTGGCCAGGCCAGAATTCAAAACAACAAAGCACAAAACGGTGAAATAACTTGATACACTCACAAAAGTAGGGCCACCCTAACCTCATCTCAAACTCGTAATGTTCAACATTTTGTCTGGGAGAACTTGGGAATGATTCTAGACCCACGCTGTCCAGTAGAACTTTCTAGATCTGCGCTGTCCAACGTGCTAGCCACGAGCCACAAGTGGCCAGCCACTGAGCAGTTGAAAAATGTGGCTAATATGACTACTGCTGTACTTTACATTTCATTCAGTTTCACGCCAAGTGAGAAAATAAAGCAATCAAACTAATGTGCTCATTCTGGAATGAAAAAATATAGAAAGAACATGGATAATTTCCCTTCTGGTATGAGTGTAAGTACATTCTGATTAGCTGCCATCTAAAATGCCATGAAATCTCAGGAATTTTAGAAGTGTTCTATTTCAATTGATAATTTTTCAAAAATGTGAATGGCTGAGGCCCTAAATAATTGGAAGACTATGCAACACACACCTACATGTAAAACCCTGAACACCAGATCACGGTCTGAATTCTCTCATGTCCCAAGTGTAATAACTTGTACTGTGCCCAAAGGACCTTCCTTCCTGAAGGTGGGATATTTCAAAAGAAAGGGTTTCCTCTGCCACCTACCTGCTACCTAAAGTCAGACCTCCAAAAAGTGAATGTGTGCGTGCGTGTGTTTTAAACAGTAGAAAAAAAGTGTATGAGGGGCACCTGGGTGGCTCAGTTGGTTAAGCGACTGCCTTCGGCTCAGGTCATGATCCTGGAGTCCCGGGATCGAGTCCCGCATCGGGCTCCCTGCTCGGCGGGGAGTCTGCTTCTCCCTCTGACCCTCCCCCCTCTCATGTGCTCTCTCTCTCTCTCTCTCATTCTCTCTCTCAAATAAAATCTAAAAAAAAAAGTGTATGATTAACATAACATAATAAAATAAAATTTAAAAAAAAGTGTGAACCCAGGGACCCTAAGAGCTTCCATTACTTAGACACACATCGTTAGGGTACATCTGGAGCCTGGTGATACCACAGCGCCCATGGCTGGTGAGCAGCATCGCTGTTCTCTCCACTGCGCTCAGACAGTGACGTACTTTGACGGTGGCAAGAACAGAGCTCAAGCCTGTTCTGCACTGATTTATCTACCAGCACTGAGAATCAGGCCAGGAAGAATGCATGCTGATAAAGACGCAGAAAGGACAAAAGAAACATTAAAGTCTTTGTTCTCCTGCCCCCCACTGCCCCCCTTAAGCCTAATCAAATCATAAACTTGGGTGGACACTGAAAACCCAACTGCATTACAAGAGTCTTTATCTTCTGGTTTTGTTTTTTTTTTAAAAAAAAACAAAAGTGTTTTTGTATCTTTTGATTCACCATAAGGTACGAGGACACAATTACATACTTTAAAAACTACTCAAAGAGCACTGGTGCTTAATTAAGATGGTATGAGCCCTACCCCAGTCATGGCAGACATACCAAATCCTAAGTCTCTTTATGAGTGAAAAGCCTTGTTTACTAGATCATAAACAAGACTTTGTGGGAAAAGTATCTGCGGCTCTGAAAACGGACTGCTCTGGACTCTAAGCTCAGTTGTCTAAGAGGGACAGAGAACAGACTCTGAGGAACACCGACACAGCAATCAACCCAGAGACAGGGTGGAAAAGCGGTTAGACTTGACCTGACCTCCTGCCCCTTTGGCTGAATGGGGCAGGGGGTTGGCGCACACAGGAAGGAAGGAAGAGACAAAACGTCATAAAGAGAAACATGTCAGGTTAGAAGGAGGAGAAAAGCCAGGCCCAGTTAATTTGTTTCTGAGGATTTCCTTGTGTCACCTGATGTACCGCCAGCAGTGTTCGTTCCGGTCCTCTTCGGACAGCTCCTCGACGCCAACTCTGGGCAGCAGAAGAAGGGAACGTGAGTGTGACGGGGCGCACAGGGGAGCCGGGAGCTCTGGGCACAGGACCTGGACCACGCCCATCAAGGGAGAGGGGGGCTCCCTCTGGAGAGAGATCCGTACCCTCTCTTAAACTGTCCCCATTCTCTAAAACCCAGAGAGGCAGAGAGGCTGCTAAATTTAAATTTAAAGCAACCATGTTAGGAGCGAGGCCAAGTGAGGATCAATCGGGAATGAAGGTAAGCCTCTCAAAATATCATGTAAGGAAATCAGGAATGCATGCAGCTCACGGAAAATGAATTTATACAATTTTTTCAGGAATTCACCTGTTTCATAAAGCAAGGTACATCCATACGAAAAATAGAAAACAGAGTTGTTACTAAACACGTATCTGAAGTGTTTACACATACTTTGACACATATTTGACAGAAAGAGCAAAAAGCACCATACTGTTGAAAACAGCAACAATATTTAAGAAGACAAAGATGGCCTTTTTTTTTTTTCTTTTTCAGACACAAGTAAACCATGTTGTCTAAGGGTTCCTGAAGGTCAGGAACCCAACTTCTGCTATTCTCTTTCTCTTGCGCCTTAGAGTTGACACGGACCATTTTCACCTGCCTTAACAATTTCTGGGTTGTATTCAGGGTGCATTTGAACTTTGCCATCAAACTAAGAGCGGGGTTTCACAATGTTGGCCCTGCTGACACTTCGGGTCCTGGCCTCTACCTACAAGATACCACTGGCAACCCCCTACGCAGTTGAGGCAACCCCAAATATCTCCAGACATTGCCAAATGGCCTCTGGGGGGCAAACTGCCCTCAACGGAGAACCAATGCACTTAGATCATGTATTCTCAGTTGGGGGTGGTATTGCCCCCATGGGTGTGAAGATTGGTTCTTGTGAGGCAAAAAGTTTTAGGTATTACAATGGTTTGTAGCCCTCTAAACCGTGATACTACATAAACAAGCATATAGCAGATCTGTGGTATTAAAATTTCACTGGAAGAGGTAACGGGGGGGGGCATTTTTGAAGGGCTCCTTGTGGGGGGACAACAGTGAAAACAAGGTGGAAGAACACTGTGCTAGACAATGCCCAACTTCTCATGCTACTGATATCCCCTGGAATATGCAAGCGAGAACGAGATATGCTTCTTAAGGCGGTACTTCAACAAGTCACATGCTCAGAATGGGACTCTATATTTTACCATACTATTGAAAAATTGTAACACATTCCAGAAAAGCAAGCTGGACTCCATTAATGTAAGATTCACTGATAATAATAATAGCAATAGTAGCACTACTGATGCTATGATTAGTAATGATAATATAATAATATTGTATTATATATGATATATATTAGATACAATAATTAACAGCTAAAAGATCCTAAATGCTTACCATGTGCCAGATGGGACATTTCTTTTTCAGGTGGTACGTTTAAAGAGAATTCTTTATCACATTTATTTATCATCACATTTATTTTATCCTTACACTATCGTCCCCATCTAAACTGGTGAGGAAACTGAGTTGAAGAGGCTAAATAAGTTGCCCAAGGTCACAAAGGTAGAAAACGGTAGAACCAAGACTGAGGCTGAGGTTCTTAGACCCCAGAGCCCCAGTTCTTCACCTCACAGTATCCGCCTTTTTTTTAAAGATTTATTTATTTATTTGAGAGGGGGAGGAGGGGGGAGGGGTAGAAGGAGAGGGAGAGAGAAACCCAAGCAGACTTCATGCTGAGCACAGAGCCCAACAAGGGGCTTGATCCCTCGATCTTGAAATCACAACCCAAGTAGAAACCAAGAGTTGGACACCCAACCAACTGAGCAACCCAGGCGCCCCAGGATCCACCTTTTGATTACACGCTGGTGTCCTTAAACTCTTTTAAAATATCCAGTTACAGGGGCGCCTGGGTGGCTCAGTCATTAAGCGTCTGCCCTCGGCTCAGGTCATGATCCCGGGGTCCTGGGATCGAGCCCCGCATCGGGCTCCCTGCTCCGCGGGAAGCCTGCTTCTCCCTCTCCCACTCCCCCTGCTTGTGTTCCCTCTCTCGCTGTGTCTCTCTCTGTCAAATAAATAAGAAAATCTTTAAAAAAAAAAAAATATCCAGTTACAAATGCTATTACATAAAGAGCTCAGGGCTGCTCCCTGCCTTTTTTCTTCAAGTTATCTGGCAAAGAGCTTTGTCGTAAATTCTCAGTCTAACAGGATTATACTGAGCAGAGTGTCCTTCCTTGTCCTGGAGTGTTTGCATGACTGCGCTGTGGGGTGTGAAGGGTACCTGTTCATCTGACTGCCTGGGCACGTGCCATTCCGCCCCCACCATCACCACCACCTCATGTGTGTGTCACCTGAAGCTGGGGGCGTCAAAGAGAACGGCCACCATGCTGCCCAAATGTGCTCTGGACCCAGACAAGGCTCCTCTGCTGAAATAATCCTGTGGTCATTTTTTTAAATTGCCAAAATTACGTCCTTTGTGAATAACAACACCTGCTCAAGGGACTAAGAAAAATATGTAGTGTGTGCATTAACAGAAAACAATTGGAGCGTCTTGCCATGTTTTAAAATATCAGTGACAACATACCAATTTAAAACAGATACGTTGGATTTCTGGAAAGCAGGGACCTGGCTTTGGATTTAGGTCACATTCATTTTTATTTTATACACAGACTAGAACATAGCCATGGTTAAAAATCACAACTAACTCCTCATTATTTATGGTGGAACTTGGAATCCTACCCTGGGTTTCTGACTTCTGAGCAGCTACTTAACATCTCATAAGGGCCTCTGTCAGGAGCCTGGAGAAGTAAGGATCAGGTAGGTATTGATTTTACTTAGGGTGTAGAGGTCAAAACACCACACTGAACTTCAGGGGGTTTCTGAAGAAATTTAGAATAAGAAACTGGTTCACATAAATGATTCATGGTCATGAAGTAACACCAGAAACCACAGGCCAGAAAAACCAATGAATCTCATTACTTTATTTCCAAGGGAATTTCTTTCATGTAATCTCTATAAATGTCAGTTTCTACACTTACATAATCACTATTTATACATATCTGGAAAATGCAACGCACTAATACCATATGTATTGGTTACCTATTTGCTTCATTACGCTGTCTGGGTGGAGCTGGACAGAAAGAAGGAAAGAATAAAGATAGGAGCAGAAACCAATGAAATATAAAACAGAAAAACAATACAGAAAATCAGTGAAATAAAAAGCTAGTTCTTTGAAAAGATCAATAAAATTGACAAACCTCTGGCAAGACTGAAAGAAAAAAAGAGAGAAGGTACAAATTACCAATATCAGGAATGAAACAAGGAGCGTCACTATAGATCTCACAGACATCAAAAGAATAATAAAGTAATGCTACAAACAACATAGATGTGACAACTTAGATGAAATGGACCAATTTCACAAACTACCACAATTCACCCAATATGAAACAGATAATCTTTTTTTTAAAAGGTTTATTTATTTATTTGAGAGAGAGAGAAAGAGAGCATGCGAGTTTGGGGGGGGGTTGGAGAGAGAGAGAGAAAATCTCAAGCAGACTCCCCGCTGACTGTGGAGCCCAATGAGGGGCTCGATCCCATGACCCTGAGACCATGACCTGAGCTGAAATCATGAGCTGGATGCTTAATCGACTGAGCCACCCAGGTGCCCCATGAAACAGATAATCTTAACAGCCCTATAACTATTAAAGAAATTGCCTTTACAATTTAAAAACTCTTGAAAAAGAAGTCTCCAGGACCATACGGTTTTACTGGAGAATGCCATTAAACTTTTAAGATGAGTTAACACCAATTCTATACAATGTCTTCCAGAAAAGAGAAGAGTAGGGAACACATCCCAGCTCATTTTGTGAGGCCAGATTACTCTGATACCAAAAATAGACAAAGGCAGTGTAAAAAAAAAAAAAAAAGAAAAAAGAAAAAAGAAAGAAAGAAAACTGTAAACCAATATCCCTCATGAACACAGACCACAAAAATCTTTAACAAAATAAAGCTAATAGAATTCAGCAGTCTAAAAAATTTATACACCATAACAAAGTGGGGTTTGTTTTAGGGAAGTAAGGCTGGTTCAATATTTGAAAATTAATTTAAAAAAGGGGGGGTGCCTGGGTGGCTCAGTCGGTTAAAGTGTCCGACTCCTGATTTCAGCTCAGGTCATGATCTCAGGGTCTTGAGATCGAGTCTTGCATCGGGATCCACGCTGAGTGTGGAGCCTGCTTGAGATTCTCTCTCTCTCCGCCCCTCCCACCCCCGCTCATGTATGCACACTCTCTCTCTAAAAAAAAAAAAAAGAAAAGAAAAGAAAATTAATCAATGTAACCCACCATATTAACAGGCTAAACAAGAAAAATGTGATCATATCAATAGATACAGAAAAAGGATTTGATAAAATTCAATACCTGTTTATGATAAAAACAAAAAGTCTCAAAAACCTAGCAATAGATAGAAATTCCCTCAACTTGATGACGACAAACATCTACAAAAACCCTACAGGTAATATTACACTCATTGGTGAAAGACTGAATGCTTTCCCCTTAAGACTGGAAACAAGGCAAGGATGTCTGCTCATGTTACTGTTACTCAACATCACACTGAAAGCCTTAGCCAGAGCAGTAAGTCAAGAAAAGGAAATAAAAGGCTGGAAAGGAAGAAATAAAACTGCCTCTGTTTGCAAATGATGTGATGGTCTATGTAGAAAATCCCAAAGAAGTTACAAAACAAAACCCTCCTAGAACTAATAAATGAGTTGAGCATGGTCACAGGATACAAGATCAACATACAAAAACCAGGGCGCCTGGATGGGTCAGTTGGGTAAGCATCCAACTCTTGGGTTCAGCTCAGGTCATGATCTCAGGGTCATGGGGTCAAGCCCTGCATCAGGCTCCATACTGGGCATGGAGCCTGTTTAATATTCTCTCTCTCTCTTGCCCTCCCTCTGCCCCTCCCCCTTCTCCCTCTCTAAAAAAATACGAAAACCAATTGTATTTCTGTATCCTAGCAATGAACACATGGAGACTGAAATTAAAGATAGAATAATATTTATAATTGCTCAAAAAAGAAGAAATACTTTGATGTAAATCTAACAAACCATGTACAGGCACTGTGTGCTGAAAACCATACAACAGTGATGAAGGAACTCAAAGACAATCTAAATAAATGAAGAAACATGCCACGCTCATGAACTGACTCAACATGATAAAGATGGCAATTCTCCCCAAACTGATACATAGATTTAACACAATTCCTGTGAAAATTTCAGCGAGATTTTTTTTTTTTTTTTTTTAGAGCTAGACAAGCTTATTCTAAAATATATATGGAAAGGAACCAGAACAGCTATGACAAATTTTGAAAAAAGAATAATGTGGGAGGGCTGGTTCTACCTGATGCTAAAGCTTATTACATAACTATAGTTATCAGGACAGTGTGGTACTGGTGGAGGGCTGAACGCATTCATCAGTGGAGCAGAACAGAAACAGACCCATGTGTATACAGCCAACTGATTTTTGGCAAAGGAGCAAAAGTAATTCAATGGAGTAAGACTTTTTTTTTTTCTTTAAGACTTTATTTATTTATTTGAGAGAGAGATGGAGCACAAGCAGGGGGAGCGGCAGAGGGAGAGGAAGAAGCAGGCTGCCCGCTGAGCAGGGAGCCTGATGCAGGGCTCGATCCCAGGACGCCAGGATCATGACCTGAGCCGAAGGCAGACGCTTAACCGACTGAGCCACCCAGGCACCCCAAGACTAGTCTTTTTAACACATTGCCAGAACAACTGGATGGTCTTAGGCAAATAGAATAAGATAAAACCTCAACCTAAGCCTTGCATCTTATATAAAAATTAACCCAAAATGGACCACAGACTTAAATGTCAAGCAGAAAACTAAAAAACGTTTAGAAGATAACACAGAAGAAAATCTTCAGGACCTAGGGCTTGATGGAGAGTCCTTAGCTATAACACCAAAGGCAGGATGCATAAAAGAATAAAAAGATAAATGGCACTCCTTCGAAACTGAAACTTCTGCTCTATGACAGACTCTACTAAAAGGATTAAAAGACAAGCTACAGAGCGCCTGGGTAGCTCAGTTGGTTAAGCGACTGCCTTCAGCTCAGGTCATGGTCCCAGGGTCCTGGGATTGAGCCCCACACTGGGTTCCCTGCTCAGCGGGAAGCCTGCTTCTCCCTCTCCCTCTGCCTGCCGCTCCCCCTGCTTGTGCTTTCTCTCTCTCTCTCTGTCAAATAAATAAATAAAATCTTAAAAAAAAAAAAAAACGACAAGCTGCAGCCTGGGAGAAAATATTTGCAAACCACATCTCTGACAAAAGATTAGTATCTATAATAAATAAAGAACTCTCAAAACTCAATTTAAAAAACCAAAACAATCCGATTAGAAAATAGACCAAAAGTCTTGGGGCGCCTGGGTGGCTCAGTCGTTAAGTGTCTGCCTTCGGCTCAGGTCATGATCCCAGGGTCCTGGGATCGAGCCCCGCATCGGGCTCCCTGTTTGGTGGGAAGCCTGCTTCTCCCTCTCCCACTCCCCCTGCTTGTGTTCCCTCTCTCGCTGTGTCTCTCTCTGTCAAATAAATAAATAAAGTCTTAAAAAAAAAAAAAGAAAATAGACAAAAAGTCTGAACAGGTGTTCCACCAGAGAAGATATATGAATGGCAAATATGCACACGAAGAGATGCTTGACATCATTAGTCATTAGAGAAATGCAAAGTAAGGCCACAGCGAGGTATCCCCACACACCTATTAGAACAACTACAATGAAAAATAGTGGCAACACCAAATGCTGGCAAGGATGTGGAGAAACTAGATTTCTCCTATACCCAGTCCCACACATCGCCATTTCCCGAGCCCTCACTGCAGTAGCTGCTATGGTCTAGGTGTTATCTACACGTTACATCAATATTTCCACAACAGTACAGTTGTTATATTTGTATATACAGCCGTGTGCCTCAGGGAAAGCTACCCACACTCTCAGTTCTGGATAGGACAGTTTTCATGGCCCACTTTTGAAAAGGGTTACCAGAGGGGCGCCTGGGTGGCTCAGTCGTTAAGCGTCTGCCTTCGGCTCAGGTCATGATCCCAGGGTCCTGGGATCGAGCCCCGCATCCGGCTCCCTGCTCCGCGGGAAGCCTGCTTCTCCCTCTCCCACTCCCCCTGCTTGTGTTCCCTCTCTCGCTGTGTCTCTCACTGTCAAATAAATAAAATCTTTAAAAAAAAAAAAAAAAAAAAAAAAGAAAAGGGTTACCAGAAGTGCAAAAAGTCACAAGTCAACTCTCCCCTCTCGGTGGGAAATTATTTGGTCCTATATATGTGTGTAGTGTGTGGGAGGGCTCATAAACTAGCATGAAAAACAAACATGATTTAATCAGGCTCTGAGGATCTAGGGTGCCTCCTGAGAGACCAAATAGGAGCAGAAAGTAATCTCAGAAGTCAATCTTGAGGTTCTTTTGTTTTTAAGATTTTATTTAGTTATTTGAGAGTGAGTGAGAGAGCAAGCATGAGCAGGGGGGTCGGGGGAGGGGCAGAGGGAGAGGGCGAAGCAGGCTCCCCGCTAACCCTGGGATCCTGACCTGAGCCAAAGGCAGATGCTTAACGGATGGAGCCACCCAGGCACCCCTGATCTCGAGATTCTTAAAGATCCTCAGCAGTGTTCAGGGTAAGCCTTTTTTTTTACTCTTATTCTAACACAGAACAAAGATGGTACCATTGTATGTGTCAGGTTTAGAGCCAAAAATCTGTCCATTTTCTTCTCTAGGTTCATATTCCCATGATGAATTCGTTTCCTTAACACAAATCTTGAGATTCATACCAGGAACTCGAAGTTCTGATCATCCCAAATTTCATGACACAGAGGCAGTCGCTAACACCGTCAACCTTCTCAAAGGTGGTAGAGCTCAGTAGTTCAGACTGTGGACTGGGTGGCAAGACTGCCAGGCCCCAAACCCCTGCTCATCCACCTAAAGCTCTGTGACCTGGGCAAGTTATTGCTCTGTGCCTCGGTTCTGTCAACTCTACAATGAAGATAATAGTAGTAGCTCCTCCATAGGAATGTTGTGAAGATTGTCTTAATATAGGTGTGGCATCTTGTACAAGGCCTGCATCACACAAGTGTTAGCTATCATGTGACTGCCACTGATCAGCCCCACATAGCAGCTTCTGCAGACCCACAAGGATGTGAGGCTGAGACTTGCTAGCCCGGAAATGGTGCGGCTGGCAGAGGACAAGCCCAGGAATCCCTGCTGTCATCAAGACAAAAGTCCCTGATGGGGTTCGGAAGGGGGGGATGGGGTGGGGTGAAGACTGTTCTTTCCAATTCCAGTTTTCTCCCAAATTTCAGTACCCCCCCCCAAACCGACTCTAAGGATGACTACGAGATTGTAGGTTCTCTCTCCTCCAAGCTAGGTATGCTCTGCAGCTGTCAGTCTGGGGCATTCTATACTCCAGAGAAGGGAATGTGAACTGAAAGCCAGCAGAGAAAGGAAAAAAAACAACAACCACCACCAAAAAACAAAAAACAAAAAACACGGTGCCACCTTGTGGCTTCTCGGAGAATTCTTCACACCCACGCACGCCCGGAGCCCTGTCACATTCTGATCACGTTCATCCTCCGCGGACCCCACACTGAGGGAGGTGGTGGGGGCGCCTCCAATGAGGCAGAGCACACACACTGGGAGCTGAAGGGGCCTGCAGAAGATCTGACGGCATGCTTTCACTTAATATTAGGGGAAACTGAGGCCCAAAGACAGGAAGGGCTTGCCTTGAACCAGAGCCAGAGTTAGGCTCCGGGACTCCTGTGCTCTGTTCTAGTGTCCTCCTTATCCTAAGGTGCTGGGGCTCGCCAGCACCCCCTGGTATTCAAACGCTCTCAAAAAAAAAAAAAAAAAATCAAATTTAGGTCAGCGCTCTCCGTGCTGACCCAGCTGCAAAACCACAGGCAGGGGACAACAAATGAGGGTGACGCAGGAAATGTCACCTCTTTTGTACGCTCGAGCAAGAAGAGACAGAGCAAACAGTTTCCTCCCAGAAACAAAACTCTAATCGTCTCTTTTCACTCCTGGCGGATGAGCCTGTTTCGAAGGCTGGAGTTGTGATTGCAAAGGAACATGAAATGCCAGGCGCTGCCGGCAGTTACCATCCGTTCTCTTGCCTGCAGCCTTAAGACTTTGGAATTCCTGCCCTAGTGTCACTGTTCTAGCAAGGTCCAGGTGTTTCTAAGGCCTTGTGCTTTCGCAGTGACAGAAATTTTCATGCCCACCTTTTTTTTCTTGTGGAAAAGTCAATATCCTGAAGTGTTACTTATTGCTTTTTATTTTCAGTCCCACCCCCAAACCAAACCCAACCCCGTAAGAACCTTCCACTCACTAAGCTGTCTCCGCGCCCCACCCCCCCGCCCGCCCCGTGTTAGTCACAAAACTGGCCATGGTTTCAAACCTACCTTATGTTAAGCCATGACAGCATGGGGGTCGTGCCTCCACCAATGATCCAGACAGTGAAGAAGACGATGAGGAGCGTGGTTGTGAACATCATCTGGCGAGCATAGGATGCGGTGTCTCGGATGGCCAGCGCAAATGCCATGGCCCCCCTGAGGCCTGTGGGGACCGAAGAAGAAGATTTGGTTCTAAGGCCAAATGATAATGTGTCCTCGGATCCACTGCTGCCACTCGGGGCTAATAAACTGGATCCGCGTGTGCTGCGGGAGTCACGCTGTCTTATTCAGAAAGGAGAAACTTACGGGAATACGGTTTTCTCCTGTTGGAAGTTTTCATTTGCAAAATACCCCAAACGCAATGAGAAAAACACTGCACTACCTTGTATGGCACGTTCTAGGACAACAGCAATAGTTCTCCAGCTAGTAACACGAAGTAAAAAGAAATGTAAATAACAACATAAGCTCTCTAGGTCTGTGATCCAAGCACTATACAGTCATTATAAACTGAAGTAACAGGCTAAGGATGAATATGGCAAGTGCATATTTGTGGTTTCTGTGCCATGAGCCACAGAACAGTTCAGCAATTCCTCAGCAAAGCCACACAGAGAAGTAACAGTATAACCTGATCTGTATCAGGGGTTGGCAACTTTTTCTGTAAAGGGTCAGATATTAAATATCTTAGGCTTCATGGGGCAAGGGGGAAAAATCAAGGATACTGTGCAGGTACTGACAGATAAGAGAAAAAACAAATTTCCACAAAATCTTATCGACAAAAACCAAGAGTGGAGTAATTAATAACCGAGTACAATGTGTTGTAATATAGGTGGGATTAATTAATGAAAACAATGGGATTCTTTCCGGAGGAGGAGATTTCACTTAATTGGATTTCAAAGTTAGTGTCCCCTCACATCACACAGACTGTAGATGCCCATCTGTAAAAGCCATTGTTAGCCATGAAGTATATGACAACAGGGCCCAGGGACTGTACAGTTCGCTGACCCTTCACCCACATTAATGGGTATTAAGATTAAGCACCAAATACTTACAGTGAGTACAGCACAACCTATAGAGAAGTCGAATCGCTATGTTGTGCATCTGAAACTAAGGTAACATTGTGTGTCAACTGTACTAAAAAAAAAAAAAAAGAAAAAAAAAACCTGCGAAATAGAAATTAATGTAGTTAAGTATATTCTCACTCACCTTTAAGAGCGTATTTTTTTTAAGACCATATGTTTTGATCTACATTGTGCAACACTCACAAAGGAATTGAAACAATTGTGAATATTTTTAATATATATTCACAAATATTTGTTCTTCTTTTATGTGAGTTCTCATATTTTCATCTTGTATTAGATTTTACTTATGTTATATTCAGTAAAATGTTGTTTGTTTAAAAAAAAAGATTAAGCACCCACATTTTAAAGTTTGCCTTTCTAAGCTCTTTTGTTCCTTCTTCAAAGCAAGCTCATCATTTGTTTTATAGTAAAGACTGAATCCATGGTCCTTAAAATAGATACCTGGTGTGAGTTCCTGTTCACCGGGGGTGGAGGGGATGGGGGGGGGGGCAGACTACAATGACTGTGTACATTGTATGAGAGAATGAAAAGTTATACCCACTATATCTGTTTGTATAGTTTCCTACCTTTCCTGATAATTTTGCAAATTCACTAATCTGAGAACTTCACAATTCACTACAGAATGATTCCAAAAAGTGACATGAAAATACGAAGTTAACATTTTCTATTACTCGGTGCCAGGGAGACACTTATGCACATCTAGACCACCCAACAGCCAGCTTTGTCAACGATCAATATTTAAGCCTCTAAAGGGATGCTGTCTCAAAGAAGAAAACTTGGGGGTCGGAGAGAGACACTGTGTGCTCCATTTGTCTTTATTTTATTAGGTAAACGCTGTGAGCGATATGATAGAGAAGCCTTGGGTTTTTCATCACTCTGAAGAACTGAGTTCCTTTCGATGGTGAGGTTGCTCCTGGCAGGAAATAATTTTTACAGGAGATATCTTTAAACAGCTCTGTGTACTTCTCGGTCTTTTAGAACAGGAAATAATGAACATACTTTAAGTTTATCCAGGTGACTGAGTTATCTCCACCTGGTCTTGCTCTTTTCCAGCAACACTTTCTTGATATGGAAGGAGGATCTTGGTGTGACCTCCTCAGAAACCTCTAAAGCGGTCCAGCTGCTCTTGAGGCAAGCCCAAACGCTTTGGCACAGCCCTGGGGCTTCTCTGTGGTCCAGACTCCAACAGTGGTTCTCAAACCACCACCAGCAGCGGCAGCTGAGAATACGTGAGAAATGCCGATTCTTGGCACCCAGCCCGTACCTGCAGAATCACTCTGGCGGTGGGACCCGGCGAGGGGCTCTAACCAGCCCAACAGGTGGTTCTGATGCCGCCTGAAGGCTCACAGCAGCCTAGATGCAATTTTCCCATCCAACCTCACCCTCTTTCTGCATTAGCCCCTGTGTCTTACCGCGAAACCACGCTGCTGCCCTTCCTGGCAAAAGCCACCCCTGGCAATGCTCTCCTGCTTGTCCAACCTGCTGCCTCGTGAGACCCACGTCTGGCAAGCCCAGATGGAAGGCTGCCCCCCTGGTAAAGATGGCCCCAGGCCCTCCTCTTCTCCACCCTGATTCCACACCTTTTATGTGCAATGTGTCACCCTCTCTCCAGAGGAAGCTAGCTCTTTGCACACCTGCCTCCCCCACAGTGGACTGGGAGCCCTGCAAGGAGGCGGTCTCTGTCTCCTCCAGAACCCAGAACTGTGGCTTATAAAAAGAGGATGCTCCATGAACATCTGCCAGAGGGAAAGGCTGCCTATGTCAGTGCAGTTGTAAGTAAGTACTACGCAGAGCAACCGCTTCGCCAAGCAGTGCCTGTTGCTGAGTGTTCAGGAAGACTCTGAGGCCCCCCGAGAACTACGACATCACAGTCGAGGGCTGCTACTCACTCTGCCTCTTGTGCAGCCCCGCCCCCCCCAAGAGGACAGCAGTACCTTTAAGGATCACTGCGGCCTTCTGCCCCACCATCTCCTCCCTCTGCTCTGCAAAGACCCTCTGACTTGGGTCTCGTCTATAATGCCTGACGCTTACTGCACTGTCAGCTCATGCCAACTGCTCTCTCCTTCCTTTACCTCTGCATATTTTACTGTCCTTTGTCCCCTCAGTGGCTTCTGCAGACTTCTCAGCTTTATGGTGGAGAGGGGGGCATCTGGGAGACAGCATGAATCAAGCAGAACTATCACAGCGTTAACTTCCAGTTTGGGGCTCATCTTGTTTATGCAAGTGTTTTTTTTTTTTGTTTTTTTTTTGTTTTAATGCTTCAGAGAAGGTTGGAGCTAGGAGGAACCTCAACTCAATTAGCTCAATTTTATTATTTTATAAGAGTGGATACCGCAGCTGGGAGGTACTGGGTGACCTGGCCTGTGTTCTTTCTCATTAAAGGCCTATTGCCCTCCTAATTTTAGGTCTGGAGCCCTTCTGGAAGATTAAGGGTTATGAACATCTATCAGAAAATCATCAAGCACTTTAAATACTTAAATATCTCCAGGTCCCACAGGTGGTAAAGATAAAAATGAAGATGTGGATATTTTAAGGGAGAATGTTCACATTTGGTAGTTTACTCTGCAAAATCAATATTAACTCTAACATGTACATCAGTCTACTCAGCATTGCAGGGGATACAAAAGGACCAGGAATTTGAACTTCTGTCCCTTTATGAAACTTATTGATGATATTTTAATCATGCTAACATTCCTGCCGAATAAAGCTCATTTTCTTTACATGTATGGGTTTTTGTTGTTGTTGTTGTTGTTTTTTACCTGAAAACATCATCATGTGTTGAAAGTTCCAGCCAATCTTATGCCTTCTGCCCAAGTTGAGGAAGAAGGAGAGCGGGTAGATGTGTGCAGCTCTGCCCAGGAAGATGGCAACCTGACCATTGGGCGGAGGTTAAGGAACCAACAGGTTTCCAGAATGGCACCTTCCCACGGCCTCTGGTGGAGCAGAGAATTTTAGGGATGCTCTGACACCTCACGACCAGGACATAACCTGCACAAAGATCAGGAGGGTTGCATAAGGCAGCCAGGCTGTCCAGGCTCCCTTGAAATGCATCTCAGCAACAAGTGGGGATTCAACTAGACAACTTTCCCAACCTCCTGGCTCCCACCAGAGGTAATTTCTAACCTGTTAAACATGTGCTGCTGTAACTTCTTTTTTTTTAAGATTTTATTTATTTATTTGACAGAGAGAGAAACAGCGAGAGCAGGAAAGCAAGCAGGGGGAGCAGCAGGCAGAGGGAGAAGCAGGCTCTCTGCTGAGCAGAGAGCCCGATGTGGGGCTCGATCCCAGGACCCTGGGACCATGACCTGAGCCGAAGGCAGACGCTTCAGCGACTGAGCCACCCAGGCGCCCCTGTTATAACTTCTTGATTTAATTACGCCGGTGTGGACCAAGTCTGCCATCTCTCTAAAAATGAGTCCAGAAATAAGCTCAGGCACCGTGGCAGGGGCTGGGGGGTGCGCTGAGAGGAGCAAATAGTGGCTCGGGTCCCGTGAGAAGGAAAGTCACAAGAAGAAGGCAGGCCTAACCTTGGGGTCAAACGGTGAAGAGCAAGTTTCCTGGGTACGAGCTCATGAGCTTCAGCAGGAAGCCAACAAGGAGGGGCCCGACGTGACCAGGAAGCCGCTACAAGTGAGAAGCTTCGGGGGGCGCACTCCTATCCGTCACAAGACTCAACGGGAGGGGGAGACTTTTCTACCTAAGAGGCTCAAATGCCTTCCCGAGGGGTGAGGCATGGAAACGGGGGCGTGCGGAAGGCGCCGAATTCAGGGAAATGTCACTTGCGGAGTCTGGACGAGAGCCCAGCGGAGAGTGGCCCGCGGCCCTGGTCACAGAAGGAGATGGCCGGGGGAGCCGCAGGGACCGGGAGCTTCCAGGTCCGCCGCGCCCGTGGCCCGAGCTGCAGCCGTCTCAGACACAAGCGAGGCGGGACTGTCTTCTGCCTGCCCTGGGGGTACAGGACTGACTGTTTTTCTGCTTTTAGCTGGCTTCCGCCCCCGGCTCTGTGTTGTGTTGTTTTGTTTTGAACAGAAGGAAACAGGTAGTTGCTTAGGAAGCACATTCTATCCAGCAGCCATGCAAAGGTCGTCAAGTGGGTAGGCGGCCTTCGGGATTCCCAGGGGGCCCGGCTGGCCCTCCCAGCAAGGCACCCCTCTGTAAACAAGGGCTCCCGGGATGCCGTGCTAGGAGTACAAATCCACAGGACATGCAAGGGCTTTCTGAATCGAGAACGAGAACGCTGATCCCCCAGATTTTTAGCTGTTCATCTGGCGAGTGTGCAAATCCAACAAAAAGAGCCCCAGGTGAAGCGGAGAACACTCTAACCAGAAGGCCTCCACAAGGCAACAGGCCACGGTCACTATCGAGCTGCTTGCTGAGTGTCTCCTAGTCCTGCACCATAAATGAAAAGCCCAGAAGAGAAAAACTTTTTTTTTTTTTAGGTTACCCATGAGGCCTGAGAAAAGGCAAGAGTAAATGCCCAGCAATAAGGGACGCCGGCTCAGTATTTTGAAATCCAGGCTGAGCTGGACTGCTACTGTTCCAAGCCCCAGAGAAGTTCACTTCGATGAAAACAATAGGATATGAGGCCAAGCGAGCAAAACTCTGAGCTCTCCATCCACTGCTGGGCATACATGTGCCTCATTTCTTGAGAGAAGCCAATCCCTAAAACTGTGTCTCTCTTCCAAAAACTGCACTCACAATGGAACTAAGTCAGGAAACCAAGTATTTTTCCATTTTGTCTTTCTTCCTCTCCTTTTTCTTTTTGGAAAAAAAAAAAAAAAGGAGTCTTTTCCACTGTGATCTATCACAGCACGGACGCTCCTGTGAAAGCGTGCTCACTGCCTACAGGCTTCTCTGGGCAGCATGAGGAAGGGCTGCCTGCCCCAGTGTGCAGTCGAGAACAAGAGTAACAGAACCTTCAGGTCTTCCAAACTGGGAACCTCCTGGATTGGAATTCATAGAGCAATGAAATAAAAATGATTCTGGGACTGACACAGTTGCCAACTTGTAGATCTGCTAATAAGAAGGGTGCTTCATGGGGCACCTGGGTGGCTCAGTCGGTTGAGCGTCTGACTCTTAATTTCAACTCAGGTCATGGTCTCGGGGTGCCGGGATTGGGTCCATGTCAGGCTCTGCACTCAGCGCAGAGTCTGCTTGTCCCTACCACCCCACCCCCGCTCCTCCCACTGCATGCATATGCACATGCATGCTCTTCTCTCTAAAATAAATAAATAAAATCTTAAAAAATAAATAAATAAAAAGAAGGGTGCTCCAGAAAACAAGCTACCACCTGCCAAGCACCAGTGTAACAGAAAAATCATCTTACACAGAACACACCGAGAGGACAACCTTAGATCAAGGCTAATCCTTAAATCAAATACATTTAGCTTTATGAACCCCGTAAACCTTCTTGTTCTCATCATGAAAACACCACCACAAACTAGCCCTGGCTCAGTCACCCACCCAAAACAGAAATTCTTCTTATTCTAGCTTCCCCAGCAGTGGTCACCTGTCCACAAAGAAAACGGTAGAACCAGAAAAGGATACAAAAGCTCCAATGATGAACACGGGGCTGAAAACGTGCTTCTGGAAGGTAAACAGTGCCAGGCCCATGTAGGAGAAGATGAAGTTCTCTGCCAGGAAGTGTAACACCTCAAAGAGCTGCACAGGATGGGGAAAGGAAGCTGTAAACCCTGTGGGTCTCCTCCCTTGTATTCACAGGTAACTCGTGAGGACCCAGAGCTCGCTCTCACCTGCTTCGTTCGACTTCTTGATTCCACTGACAGATTGTTGTAGGTGTAATGAGCCTGTGTGATCCCACAGAAAAGGACAGCCACAACGCCTGGTGAGAGATTTTTAAAAAAAGAAAGAAAAAAAAATCAATGGAGAAAAAAAAAAAAAGAAGCTGGAAAAAAATCCCCCCTGAAACAAAAACAAGGTAGGCAAGCCCAACATGTACAACTTCCTGAATAGTTTGGAAAGTTTCCTATTGCTGAAAGCTCCCTCACCCCCCCACTCATATCAACCTTTCCTTCTTCTGACTGCCTTCCTTCAAAGCCAAGGTCCCCGACTTCCCTTCTTGCTCCAGTTTTAAGGGCATTCTCTCCTCTCCTCTAAACTCCCGCTGATTTTGGCATTTAGCATTCACTCTTTCAAAGAGGCTGTGGGGCACCTGGGTGGCTCAGTCGGTTGAGCGTCCGGCTCTTGATTTCGGCTCAGGTCATGATCTTGGGGTCGTGGGATTGAGCCCTGCGTCGGGCCCCACGCTCAGTGGGGAGTCTGCTTGAGAGTCTCTCTCTCTCTCTCTCTCCCTATGCCCCTACCCCCCCACTCTCTCTCTTAAATAAATAAATGAATCTTTAAAAAAAAGAGGCCATGAGGGCCCATCATATCCTTTTGTCATATTCCTCTCTGTTCTCTGTTCTTAGAAGCAATGAATTTAATTGCAAGCAAATGCTTTCTATTTTTGCATGGTCTAGGGCTTCAGACAAAACGGATCCAGAGCACTGTGCCATTTATCCAAGCCTTGGTTACCTTGGTTTCTGATTAATGGTAACCATTTTGTTGTGCAAGACAACTGACGCACCTGGACTGTGCCTATACATTTACAGGTAATTGCCAAGTTTTAAAGAAGTGGGGTATTTTATAATGCTGCATATAAAGATATGTTGCAGTATTTTGAAAAGAGGATAAAAGGGCTTCCCAACTACCTGGATTATGTATAGCAATTGTACTTGAGTTTCCTAGTGGAAAAATTCAGTGATTTTTTTTTTTTTTTTTGATGAGAGAATGTGAAGAACTAAAACCGCAAGTTTACTCACACTAATAATACATGAAATTGGCATCATAAAAACATAGTATTGAAAAACAATGATTAAATAGACCAGAGCCAAAACAAGGACAAACCGTGTTCACATTCATCTGAGTTGATGATACAAAGTTACCCTTACAAGGATACAGATTTTGTCTGTTGTTTGTTACTGTTTGTGAGAGAAGCAGTAATCTAGGGGATGATACAATTAAGAGGTTAATAAATTCAGTAACCTTTGCAGGTAAACATCTGCTTACAGTTGGAATGAGTACTCAGAGACAACTGAGCTTGAAACAATAAATTTCATCCTTTAAAAACGTGTAGCTCTGGGAAACAAAATTATTCCTAAGGTGGAATACCAGCCTTGCCCAGCAATCCTCCATATGGACGCTCTGTGAGTGGTGTATCAACTCCATGCGGCTGTTCCACGAGCTCCCCTCCAGCTCGCACAGCCCCGGGCTGCAGGGAGGGAAAGGGTAGCCCAAGGGTAGTGAAAACCCACCTGTGAACCCACAGGCTTCTGCCAAAAGGAAGGTGCTCCAGGACATCAAGAAGAAGAGTGCCGTCTCCAATAGAGGGAAGCAGTGCAGCTTGGTAAACTTGGTCACGTGGGCCCCTGTCAAGGAACTTGGCTCCGGGAACAAGTTATCGGGGCTACCAAGAACCACACAGGGTGAACCCAAGATCCCCCCTCTTCCCTAAGGGTGATCCCTTCCTTTCAACTCTTCTTTTGGGGGCCCCAAAGCTGCTGCTCGGTTTTTAAAGTAACAGAAACGAAGTTTTCGAGTAGAAACAAGGTTTCCAAGGGCTGGGAGAGAGGAGAAAGGGTGATATTGTTTCTGTTTGGGATGATGAGAAAGATCTGGAAACAGTGGGGACAGTTACACAATGTGGATGTACTTAATGCCACTGATTTGTACACTTAAAAAAAATAATAATGTGACATACCCAAAGCCATTTAACTATACACTTCAAATGAGTGAATTGTACGGTATGTCAATTTTACCTCAATAAAGCTGTCTTTAAAAAAAAAAAAATGGAGCTTTCTAAAGCAACCGGAAATAGGTTTTCTGTGCTCCCTGCAATGCCCATGGCTCTGAGGGGCTCGGTCTTGGCCTGAGGGGTGACTGGCAGGTTAGTTCTTGCAGTGCAGGGGGTGCCTCAGGCAGGCCTGGGGAGGGAGCCTGGGCCCGTGAGACTCTGACCTCTGTGGGCTGCTATGACCTGAGTCCAACAGCAGGTGCCTCATGAATGCATGAGAAATGAAGAAATAAAATGCACAACTCCAGGGGCTGGTGCCACTTTCGGGGACCAGAGAGTCCCCTCGTAACACTGCCCTTCCACAGTGGGCCAGCATGGAACCATCTCACGCGTGCTTTCACGGAGCAGTGCAAGCCCCCAGAGCATCACAGGGGCCTCTGTGGAGAAAGCAGCTGGGTCCATGCTGTCCAATATGGTAGTCGCTAGCCACGTGTGGCTACTGAGCACTCGAAATGGAGCTAGTCCGAATTGAGAGATGCTGGAAGAGCAAAATATGTGCCACGCTGCAAAGATTTATTATAGAAATTGCGGGTATAAAATCTCCGTGATAATTTGTATACTGATTGCAGGCTGGGATGACGTGGCTGGCATCTGTGGCTTCCGTGACGTCATACTAGATGGCAGGGATCTAAATGCCATCAAAAGAGCATTTGACGAAGGACTCGGCACACCTGTCGAGGGGTGGTGGCCTGCCCGTCCCACACTTTGCTTTAATGTCGGTTGGTTGGATTTTTAACTAAGTGGGATACAATCCTTCACTTAAGGAAGGCCACCTCGTGGTAATTGCCACTGATGGCCCCAGGTAGTTACGGCCACGTTAACCCACATGGCCCACAACAGCCGAGGGCAGGCTTGAGGCTCAAGTACTTCCCAGCCTGCCCCCTCCTAGCCTCCCGTGCGGCAGCCCCTGCTCCCCAGCCTCCTCCTGGCTCTTTCCCCCGCTTCCAAAACCAATGTCCTCCCCCAGCTGGTTCGCCGGAGGGAGAGAATGCAAAGGCACATGCTAGAGTCACACTCCCAAACATTTTCTCAGACTCTTAGTTAGCTACGTACTCGACTGTCATGCTTCACCAAAGGGACACATTTCAGGAGTCCCCCCCCCCACCCCCGACCCCAGTGGAAACATCGATTTAAGATTCATTTCTGGAAAAAAAAAAAAAATCATTTCTGAGAAGAAGAACCGAGACCTCGTTCTTACAAGTGTACTAGCACACGATCCTACCCAGGCGGGGGCAGAAACCACAAAAAGGATATTAGAGCAGTCACAACGCCCGTCACAGCTCCCATGGTGAAAGAGCCACTAAATATACCTAGAAAAATGCCCACTGATTTAAAAAAGGCAGCAGCATCAAAGGCATGAGTGTTCAGGCCCGCTGGCTGGTAGGCAACAATAGACCTGGGGTTTAAAAAGAAGAGAGAGCTAAAACAGAGCACGCTGTTGTTCTACCGTGGTACCTAAAAAGATCGGCAAATGGAGGCATCTACACTCTGCCTAGCACTCCCCGTGCTGTAGGCCTTTAACCTGCTGCCATCAGCATTCAGATGGCCGCCAAGTGGACAAAGCAACATAACTTTATCAACAGAACTGATGACCTCACTTAGAAAAACACCCAGTTCAATCTTTAACACTTTTGAGAGAAGCCTCTGAATTGAGCCCAGAGCACGCCGGAAGCCAGAGGCTCTCTTCCCCGGGGCAGAAATACCGTTGTTACTTACGAGGACAGGACAATGGCAACAGCATCATTTAGGACACTTTCCCCAAACAGAAGTGCGTAAAGATCCACGTCTGCGTGCAATTCGTTAAATATTGCCAGTACAGTCACTAAAAATGGGCAGGAAGCATATCAATTAGTTTCAGCTTAAGCCACTGGTGACAAATGTATAGAGGCGATTCCTACCTCTGGCAGGACAGGGTGGTTTGGGAGACAAATGAAACGAAATGAAAGTGACAAATCTTCCCGATCCGAGTGAGGTCTGATAGGAGGCTCATTTCTAAGAACACCACAGGGCAACCCTGCGCTCTCCACTGCAATGCCATCACACTGGGGAAAGACCTCTGTTACAGAACCTTCAAAAATAATCACACTGAATGTGATTTGGCCCCACTGGCAGACTGAAATCTCTCTGAAGGCAGAAACCGTTTTCCCACTGACCCCTGTGTTCCCAGGACCCAGCATAGGGTCAGGGCACCGAGAAGGCTTTAACAAAAGTCCGTGAAATGATGAAAGTCTTCTTTTAGGACAGACCAGACATAATTCCATGTCTCTTTGTCTTCACATTTCTTAGATATTGAAAAATCGGCTGTTCTCCAGATGAGCAGCTCTCAAACTTTTGGTCTCAGGACTCCTTTATGCTCTTAAAAGCCACTGAGGCCCCTAAAGAGCTGTAGTTTTTGTGGGCAATAGCCATTGATATTTACTGTATTAAATAAAACAAAAAATTAAATATTTATGCATTTAAAATTAGGAATAAACCCCGTCATATGTTAATGTACTTATTTTTAAAAAGATTTTATTTATTTATTTGAGAGAAAGAGAGAGCGTGTGCAAGTGAGCATGAGTGGGGGGAGGGACAGAGGGAGAAGCACACTCCCCGCTGAGCAGGGAGCCCGATGCGGGGCTCGATCCCAGAACCCCGAGATCATGACCTGAGCCGAAGGCAGATATTTAACCGACTGAGCCACCCAGGTGCCCCTTTACATATTTTTAATGAAAAATAATTATATTTCCCAAAACAAAAAAAAGTGAGAAGAGAGCCATTTGTTTTACAGTTTTTCACATCTCTTTACTATCTCGATTAATGGGAGACAGATGGTTCTCTTATCTCTTTCTGCATTCGACCAACAGATAGTCAATATCACATGTTATGCAGCCTCTGGAAAACTCTACCCCACTGCACATTCGTGAAAAAATGAAAGTAAACAAGACAAATAACGGGGGCGCCTGGATGGCTCAGTCAGTTGAGCGTGTGACTCTTGATTCTGGCTTAAGTCCTGATCTCATGGGTCGTGAGCTTGAGCCCCACATCGGGCTCTGCGCTCAGCAGGAGTCCACTTGGATGTTCTCTCCTTCTGCCCCTTTCCCTACTCGCTCTCTCGCTCGCTCTCTCTGCCTCTCAAAAATAAATAAATATATTTTTTAAAAAGACAAGCAATGTATTACTATTATTATTAAATCATTAAATTAGTTTGGACCTTATGGTCTCCCTGAAAGCATTTTGGAGTTTCTCAACTTGGGTACTACTGACATTTTGGGCCAGATGATTCTTTGTTGTGGGTGGCTGTCCTGTGCATTGCAGGATGTTAAGCAGCATTCTTGGCCTCCATCCACTAGATACCAGAAGCACTGCACACTCCCTGCCAATTGGGACAACCAAAAATGTCTCCAGACATTGCCAAATGTCTCCTGAGGGGCAAAATCACCCCCCAGTGAAGAACCACTGTTCTAAATATATGCATGCAGGCAGGCTCCTCTCCACACTCACGTCCAGCTGCCTTCTGCTTTGTTCATTTCTACCATAAGGACCTGAACAACTAAAAACTCGCCTCCCCAAGTTCCCCTGCACTGCGTGTCACCTCTTCCTGCCTGGAGGAGACTGGGGAGGCTGGATGTATCCCAGTCATCTTGCCTCCACCAGGCAGCAAATGTGTATCTGAAACACAAGGGCAGTGCCCTGGAAAGACGGAGTGCCCGGACACCCGATTGTAGAGGGAGCCGTGGTACCAGCTGAGGGCCATTAGCTAAGACAGAAAGCTATTTGTTTAAACTCATGTTTGCCAGGTTGTTCTGCTATTGGCAACCAAAGGCATTACTAACGGACACAATTAGAAAACAAAACCAAACAAATATTTACCTTTGTGAGTTATTACAAGCCAACCCCTCTTGTAGCCATCACCCAGTTCAGGCAACGGAATTTTGCCAGCCCCCCTGGAAGACCCCCTCTATGTTGCATCCTACTTTCAAGGCCCTTCCTTCACCCAAACGTAACCACCAGCCTCATTTTATAGTAATCGTTTTTCCTGCATTTCCTTACAGCTTGATCACCTAATGTATACACCCTGACACTACTGCTTGGTTTTGTCCATTTTTAAATTTAGTTTTTGAAATGCCTTTTTTTTTTTTTTAACATCTTGTTTACTGCCTGGACTCCTCATCTGTTCCTTTCTGTCAGCTCTTTCCACAATGCCTATCGTTTACTCCTCTCATTTCTAAATTTTCCAATCCTGATGTATACAGTTCTTTCCTAACTTCTTCCATTTTCGGAGTTTTTTTTTTTTAAAGATTTTATTTATTTGAGAGAGAGAGAGCGCACAAGCGAGTGAGCCAGGGGTGTCGGGGGTAGGGGGGAGGGAAGAGCAGAGGGAGAGGGACAAGCAGACTCTGCGCTGAATGCAGAGCCCGATACGGGACTCCATCCCATGACACCGAGATCACAACCCACGCGGAAACCAAGAGTCCGATGCTCAACCAACTGAGCCACCCAGGCACTCCCTGAATTTCCTTTAGCGTCTACTGGAATATTAGTAATATTCTGCTTTGTACCCTATTTTGCTGATATTACTTAATTATATGCAACTTTATTATTCAGAGGGGCTATCCTCATTTTTTCTTACAATATGCTTGCATGAAGTCCGATCTCAATCTACTTCTGCTGCTCATTTTAAGTGAGGTGGGGAGGGGAAGACCCAGACTAGCTTTCCTCGTTTCACGGCTCTAGGGCTCCCTCTGCTGGTTTTACATTGAAGTACTGAAAATGTGGCCTCTGAGTGTAGCCACCCCCTCAATACTCATGAAATCTACTTCCTCTGGTCTCTTCCTCCACTGGTATCTGAGCTTTCTTTCTCCTTAAAGCCCTGTCACTGCAGGGTCTGTGGTCCTTAGCAGTTTATTTTTAGGGAGTGGCTCTGTCCTTCCAGAAAGGTTTTCACCAGGTATTTTTTGAGAGCCCTGAGGGCTCGGGCCACCTTGGCAGCCTCGCACCTCCTCCAATGTCCTCGTTGTCACCCACAGATTGGAGCCTGTAAAGTGCCTCCCAGCTTTAACTGTTGTTATTCGATATGCCTACAAAGTTCTTTACTCCAAGTGGGGACCCCTCCTTTTGGATGTGAATACTTGGGGGGAAGTTCCCTGGCAGTCAAAATGATCAGAGGGCCCCCCTCTTCTCCCCTCTGTTTCCTCCTGCACAGCTGCTGTATCCTACCTCTGAGTCTCGCCACTGCTGGTGGTTTGACCCCAGCAGATAATATTTGGGGATTCATGGGTACTCTGTCAGCTAGCTGCATTTCTGTGTTTTTTCTTTTGCTGCCCTGCTTCCTCCATTTCTGTTAGGGATTAAGGAAAATTCTAAAACTACACTGTCCCCCTCATGCTTTCCTTCTCAAAAGTTTAATTCATTTATTGAGAGGAAGCAAAGAACAATTTGGATAGGACAGATGTTGACTCTATCATGAGGCTGCTCCACGTAATTACACATCCACTGCTCAAATCACTATGGGGGGCAATGCCAGAAGCTAGAGTTCCTGGAGGGCACGTCATCTTCATAACACAAGACACAAGGTCAGTCTCTTTCACCCATCCCTAAATACAGCTTATCAGGTAACACAACAGGAAAAACCTTTAGGGATTTGGCTAAAAAACTCTTATTTTCTGGATTATTTATTACATAAACAGTATCTGGGGTGCCTTCCAGAAAACTTGTGAGGGTAAATTTATCTGTCAAAGATGAATGGATAAAGAAGATGTGGTATATATATACAATGGAATATTATGCAGCCATCAAAAGGAATGAGATCTTGCCATTTGCAAGGACGTGGATGAAACTGGAGGGTATTATGCTGAGCGAAATAAGTCAATCAGAGAAAGACATGTATCATATTATTTCACTGATATGAGGAATTCTTAATCTCAGGAAACATACTTAGGGTTGCTGGAGTGGTGGGGGGTGGGAGCGATGGGGTGGCTGGGTGATAGACACTGGGGAGGGTATGTGCTATGGTGAATGCTGTGAATTGTGCAAGACTGTTGAATCACAGACCTGTACCTCTGAAACAAATAATACATGTTTAAAAAAAAAAGATGATGATAGCCGGAGGGGAAGAATGAAGGGGGGGAAATCGGAGGGGGAGATGAACCATGAGAGACGATGGACTCTGAGAAACAAACTGAGGGTTCTAGAAGGGAGGGGGGTGGGGGGGATGGGTTAGCCCAGTGATGGGTATTAAGGAGAGCACATATTGAATGGAGCACTGGGTGTTATACGCAAACAATGAATCATGGAACACTACATCAAAAACTAATGATGTAATGTATGGTGATTAACATAATATAATAAAAAAAATTTTATCTGTCAACTTGACTAGGCCACGGGGGCCTCAGATATTTGATTAAACATTATTCTGGGTTTGTCTGTGAGGTTTTGGATGAGATTACCATTTGAATCAGAAGACTTAGTAAAGCAGATAGCCCTGCCCAAGGTGGGCGGGACTCATCCAGTCAGTTGAAGGCCAAGTAAGGAAGAATTTGCGCTTGCTGCCTGTCTTTCAGCTGGGACAATTGTCCCCTCCTGTCTTTGGACCCAGACTGGAACTACACCATTGGCTCTCCTAGTTTTCAGGCCTTTGAACAGCATATCTTGGGACTTCTCAGCCTCCATCATTACATGAACCAATTCTTTATATTCACTGAACCTCTTTTCTTACTTTCTCGCTCTCTCTCTGTACACACACACACACACACACACACAACCTATTTATTCTGTTTCTCTGAAGAACCCAGACTAATATAAAACCTTTATTCTAGTAGTTTATTATTATGTGACATAAGAATTATCTTGTTTGGGGGCACCTGGATGGCTTAGTCGGTTAAGCGTCTGACTTGGCTCATCTTGAGGGTCCTGGGATAAAGCCCCTCGTCGGGCTCCCAGTTCCCTCTCCCTCTGCCCCTCCCCCTGCTCGTATATGCTCACTTGCTCTCTCTCAAATAAATAAAATCTTAAAAAAAGAATTATCTTGTTTTAACCCAATGTTGAAGAAAAACTAACAATGCTAATAATAACAACAATTACTAAGGACTAACCATGAAGCAGGCACTATGATAAACATTTTATTTAGTCCTCATCCCTAGGTGGGGAGTACTATCATTTCCCCTAATTCAGAGATGAGAAAACAGGCCACAGCATCAAAACTCCTAAAATCTCAGTGGTTGAACCCAAGCGAAGTTTTAGCCATTACTCATATGACATGTCTGCTGGGGGTTGGCACCGGAAGCCTCTGGTCACATCAGTCACTCGGGGACTCCAGACTGGTGGAGGCTAATCTCAAAGAACAGAGCACAGGGCTGGCAGCCCAGGAGACATAGGAGCCCAGGACTTTATCACAGGGTCCTGGCAGGAAAGAGATAACACCCTCCAACTGAGCAATTTGAGAAGTATTTAGTGAAGGGATTGTTTATGGAAATGTGGGCAGAGTACGGGAAAACCACAAGAGAGAGGACAGTACGTGCCGCTGAAAACAGGGACTATCCTATGCTATCTCTAAGCCCAGAGGGTCCAGAGAAGGCGAGGCTGCCTGAACCAGGAGCTGTGTAGAGAGGGTCACCTGATGGGATCTATGTCCTTTGATCAAGGGACACAGGGGGCCCACAAGATCCTGCATCTCCACCCTCCTTCCAGTCTTCCACTGGTGCTCCCCTGTGGACAAATCCAATGGGAAACCAGAAGGCAAAGGAACCTTTGAAATCTTCCATACAAATCAGCCTCCTGGCACCCAAAGGAGGGCGGAGAAGGGTAGTGTGTAAATCTGGAGGGGAAAACAGAAACCAGCCCACATAGCCGCCAATGGGTTATGAGAACTTAACACACAGCCAAGTCCAAAGATTTAGTGAAGCGGGGGGTTGAGCGCCATGATTGTCAAGAGCCCTTTTGACTTTAAACACCGTTTTCCTGAAATACTACAATTAGCAGTAGTAAAACAAAACAATAATGTACAGCTAACTCACTTACCTATGACAAGAAAGGCTAGCTTATACAGTTAATACTAATAACAATTAACACTTAACATGGCCCCGGTCTGAATTTGGCTGCTCTGACTTTCAATTTCTCATTCTCCCTGCCCATCACTTTATAAATCAAGGCAGGGACCCCCATGCACCCCTCCTGAGCCAGCCTGTGCCCAAGCAAGAGGAGCAGCATGGGTGCGGACAACCGGAAGATGACGGAGGGAGTGACAGACTGGGTGAGTGGCTTCTCAAGGTGGAGAGTAAATGGACTGCTCCCCCCACAGTGGGACCCTTGAAATCAGGGAGAGCAGGGTCCCAAGGGCTGTCTCTAACTGGACACGGACTAAGAAATGACAATTAATTGACTGAAGCATCTAAAAAGGAGTGGGGAAAAATAAAATGACAGATGTAGGAAGAAGGAAAATTCAAGAACCTGAATTTGCTCATTCAACGAACGAACTTAGCCTGAACACTTCATCTGTGTACTAAAGAGCACTTAGCACTTGCAAACACTCACTACAAACTGGCAAGTATTGTTATGTACAAAACAGGCTTAACTGAAGAGCTGTGGGAGCGAGTAAGTGAGGGAGTAAGGGCAGAGTGTGTAGGCGGGTGGCTTACTGGAACTGAGTCTCAAAGGACAAGCAAGAGACTGAGCAGCCTGGGTGATGCAACTAAAGAATTACTCTCTGACAAGACCGATCACAGATTCTGAAGCCTGTGAGTAGGCCTGATCGACTCAAGGGGTGTAAAAGTGACAGAATTAAAATGAGAGGAATCAGTTCATAATGGTTCATGGGAAGGAAGAGCAACTCACTTTCTCTGGTAGCTGCTAGAGATGCGCTCTGGGTGGGAAATGTACGTTGTCCTTTGCTGAACCATGGGTCCCTCTAAAGTAATGGTCCACGTGGCACCCTTGACACCAGAAGGGAGATGGCTGCGGGTCACAGAACCACCTACACCACCCCACACATATGGTGTCCCCTTCCACGGCAAGACCGGAAGACTGGGGTCTCGAGCCAAATATGATGTAATCAGGGACAAGGACTCGGATTCCTTCATATCAGTCAAGACCGCTACATATCCTGATACTGGAATTTTGGTTTGATGCACCAGGCACGAGAAGTCAATTTGGTCTTATGGTCCCTTCTAACTCTGCACTTAAGTTTTTCTCTCTTTTATAGCCCAAGTTTTCAAATAACAGATTTTTAGGAAGCTGGTAAAAGACTTTTAATTTACAAAAACAGTTTACATTTCAGAAAGATTTCCATTAAAAAGCAGTTAAAGTTAATGTCCTGGTGTTTAATAAGTTTAAACTTTCAATTTTCTAGAACTTTCATTTATATAAAACCCTTACTGTGCCAATCTTCACAGGCCAAATAACAACGGTGTGTCATGGTGATGCCTTCCACTAATTTCTACCACAGCATGGATACATTAAAATGAAGTAAACAATTAGGAAGATAATCTGAAAAAATAAGCCTTTCTATCCAATTAAATGAAGCAACACTAATAGGTCAGAAAACAGTATCAATGAACTTTATATTACACTAACCTCCCTTTGCTTATTGGTGGTAGTAGTTGAAGAAGTTAGTGATAAAGTTACAGATGAGGGGGCACCTGGGTGGCTCAGTCAGCTAAGCATCTGACTCTTGGTTTTGGCTCAGGTCATGATCTCAGGGTTGTGAGATCAAGCCCCACATCGGGCTCCATGCTCCGCGGGGAGTCTGCTTGAGATTCTCTCTCTCTCCCTCTGCCCCTCTACCACCCCCCTCAAATAAATAAATCTTTTTAAAAAAAGTTACAGATGAGTATAGTTAGTAACATATTTTCAGAGAGACTAAACACCTTTCTTAGACTTATGCTGAATCTTTTTCTGAATAGACACATATTTGGAGATAGTCATAGACACTGTAGTATGAAAATAATAAAGCTATTTTTTGGAGTGCTCTTTAGAAACATGCTTGAATTAAGTGATGACCTGTTAGTTATTTATTACTATTTCTTTAAAGATTTTATTTATTTATTTGAGAGTGAGAGAAAGAGAGAGAGAGAGAGCGTGCACATGAGAGGGGGGAGGGTCAGAGGGAGGAGACTCCCTGCTTGTTCCATTAATTTCTTCCTGGGACTCGATCCCGGGACTCCAGGATCATGACCTGAGCTGAAGTCAATTTGGTCTTATTTCCCTTCTAACTCTGCACTTAAGTTTTTCTCTCTTTTATAGCCCAAGTTTTCAAATAACAGATTTTTAGGAAGCTGGTAAAAGACTTTTAATTTACAAAAACAGTTCTCCCCACTGTACCATGCCTCGTGGGAGCCCTCCAGATCAGTGTGATGATAGAAATGTTCTCTGTGGGGAGAATCTTAGTATCTTTAAAATCATTACTGTCCAGAATGTTAGAGGGCATCATAGATGTTGAGAAGACCTTTCCACCTCCACTACTGGGACAGCACCCTCTCTTTCTCTGTAAGTTCTTTGCTGACGATGTCCTCTCAATGGCTGACATCAGAGGAAGGAAGAGCTGTAACTATTTTATGTGAACTGATTTAATTATAGGTTCCAACTTGGAAAAGGGAGGGTTTTCTTGTTTGTTCTTGAGCTGCAGAGCAGGGCGGGCATATAATAATTCCACTTTTAAGAGGTGGCTCGACTGACACTCAAAAAGTACAAGGTAAGAGATTTATGAATAGGAACCAGGTCACAGTGTGCTGTTATGCAGGAACACTGAGCAAAAGAGGAGGTTACAAAGGACAGTACATTCACTGCAGGTACCGGTGTGCACTTCCACTAAGAAAAGGTCTTGTTTAAATGAAATGATATAATTTCCTAAATGAAGGAGAAAGCACCACACCGAGGAAGAAGACGGGCTAAGTGTAAAAATTATGGCCATATTAGACATTCTAAAATGAAAGACAAAAGGGAAATACAGGCAGAAGCAACCCAAGTGTCCGCTGTGGACAGATGCGTAAACAGAATGTGGTGCAGGTGCAGGGGAATATTACTCAGTCTTGAAAAGGAAGGAAGCTCCGACACCGTGCTACCACACAGATGAACCACGAAGACACTACGTGGAGTGAAATAAGCCAGACACAAACAAACTTCTATAAAGTAGCTAAAATTTGTGATGTATTTTTTAGCACAATACGAAAATAATAATAAGATGCTAAAATTTGTGATGTATTTTTTAGCACAATACGAAAATAATAAGGGGGCGCCTGGGTGGGTTAGTTGGCTAAGCATGTGCTTTCGGCTCAGGTCATGATCCCGGGGTCCTGGGATCGAGCCCCACGTCAGGCTCCTTGCTCCGCGGGAAGCCTGCTTCTCCGTCTCCCCCTGTCCCTCCCCTGCCCATGCGCACATGCACACACGCAAGTCCTCTCTCCCCCCTCAAATAAATAAAATCTTAATAACAAAACCAAAAGGGAAATGCACACCTTTCTTGGAAAAGCCCTCTAACTCTGTTAGACCACTTCCTGATCTCTTCCTCCATCATTCCATGCTGACTCTACAATCTCCGTCTACTGCAACCAAAGTCGCTGGTTGCTCTGAACATTTTAAGACTGAAATAATGGAATGCCATGGTGACAAAGCCAAATATGCAAAATACCTGGGTCAGTGGCAGAGATAATCGCTCCAAAGAAGAGACAATCTGTGTAGTAAAATTTATCCGAGAGCTGCCCCACAATCTTCATGAGCTTCACCACACCATACATGAGGTTTCTGTAAGGAGGGAAGGTAAACTGTGTCAGAAGAGAAAACGAAAACCCTCCTCACTGAGTAGGCTGGCCAATGTGCAAGCAGCGTAGCCCGGAATGCTGTGCACTGCAAGGGTGCTCCGTGAAAACCCTGGGCGGCTGTTGTCGTTGGGCGCTTATCAGGAACACGTGCAAATAAGACTTTGGCACCAAGTAATGGTTAGCAGTCAACGCCATCTTGCTGAAACAGGTGAACACTACTCCATTGCTTAAAGTCGTGCTCACTTACCACTATCAAGTATGGGCCTCGATTAGCAACAACTTTAAGGCGTCTGAAGCAGCTGGGTAATGGAGGAGAAGGCAAGGGAGGGGAAAGACCGCTTCACAGTGTGTAATCGCTGGCTTGTACAAAACGGACAGGATTCTAAGGCAGTGTGTTTAAAGCTGTGGAAATGAGCATGCGCTGGACGAGCTAGAGAGAAAAACAGATACGGGCAGGCCACGGAGATCCAAGTGACCAACCTTCTCTGCCAAGAATTATTTCAAAAAAAAAAAGGGAAAAGGAGCAAAACCCTGTAAACATCCTAGTAAAGTCTCAGTATACCCATCAGTATAGGGGGACCTCTCATTCTCTGCAGGGGTTAAGGCAGGCCAGCAGGGGCCCTTCTCGTGCCATGCAGGGTGTGACATGGTCCAAGACAGATTCCCAAGTTAAACAGTTCCACTTGGCTGGGGCACATTTCCTACCAGAGAGCTTAGAAAATGGGAGGAGTGAGGAGTGTTAAAAGGCCTAGTACATGTCACTAAGGGTGTGTGTGTGCGTGTGCGTGTGTGCGTGTGCATGTGGTGTGGCAGCTGCAGGGGTTAGGGGAATAAAAATAACAACAGAATAGATTCACTGTACCCTACAGCTAACACTCTAATAATAATATTCTTGCCACTTAAGGACCACGCCGTGGCTCACCTGCTCAACTCTGTATCCCGGGCACCGAGAACAGACTGACTAAGCTAGGAGCTCGGGAACTGTTTCCAGAATGGAATTCTTTGGAGAATACATAGCGAGAACTCAGTGCTTCCCTACTGTGGGCCGGGCTCTGTTCCAGACACTTAAACAGTTCAATTTCGATTCCCAGTAACTGTGAGGCAGATGTGATTTGCCTTTTGTTGCCTGTTGAAGGCTTCTTTGCCCTTCCTTTCAGACATTTCCTGAAACTACACCTGCTTCTCCATTTCCTTCGACCACAAATAGACTTGGGCACGGGGCTGCTCTCTGGCAACCTTTTCCCATCTTGCCACCAATACCGGTCAGCTAACCTGTCACTCTTCAGTGGCTTGTCTCTCTCAAAGGACAAGTCCAAGCCCCTCCTATTTGGGCGACTCAAAAGGCCCTTGGCCTTTTATCTCCTCCAGCTTTCCTGCTCATTTTTTTTTTTAAAGATTTTATTTATTTGACAGAGAGAGACACAGCGAGAGAGGGAACACAAGCAGGGGGAGTGGGAGAGGGAGAAGCAGGCTCCCCGCAGAGCAGGGAGCCCGATGCGGGACTCGATCCCAGGACCCCGGGACCATGACCTGAGCTGAAGGCAGTCACTTAACCAACTGAGCCACCCAGGCGCCCCCTGCTCATTTTTTAAAAAGTAACTAAGGTCCGTACTTTACTCCGATTTCCTTAAGCTTTTACCTAATGTCCCTTTTCTGTTCCAGGACGCCATCGAGGATCCCACATGACACTTAGTCATCATGTCTCTTTAGTATCCTCTTGGCTGGGACGATCTCTCCAACTCTGTGGTTTTGATGACCTTGGCAGTTTTGAGGAATAGCGGTGGGGTATTTTGTAGAACGTGCCTCAATTGGGACTTATCTGATCATTTTATTTTTTTTCCTCTTCTCACGATTACACCGAGGTAGTATGTTTTGGGGAGGGAAAGGGCCATTCTCATCACAAACATCAAGGGTGCAGAGTATCAGCGTGATTTACCACTATTGCTGCTGATCTTGATCATCTGGCTGAGGTGGTGTCTGTCGGGTTTTCCCCACTGTAAAGCTACGTTTTCTTCCTCCTTTTTCCCTGATGTCCTCTGTGGGAGGACGTCACTAGGCACAGCCCGCAATCAAAGCGGGAGGGGGCATAAGCTCCCTCTCCTGCGGGGTGGGGTGGGGGGGTCGACATAAATTATTTGGAATTCTTCTGCACAGGAGATGGGTTACTTCTCTACCACGTATTTATTCATCCAATCATTTATTAACATTGGTAGAGACTCAGATGTTTACTTTATAGTTTGGGTCCAGTACAATGTTACTTATTTTGTCGTTCTTTGGCCATTGGCCTTAGGGGAGCCTTCAGGTTGGCTCTGTGTCTCTTTGACACGCCCCAAGTCCTTTTGTTTGTTTTCTGGGCGCTTCCTTACTTCTTGGCACTATGATATGCTCCATTCTTATCTTGTATATTTGCTGCCCCAGCCCTAGAATCGGCCATTTCTGCAAAGTGCAGGAACCAAGATCTGGGGACTAGGTGTAAATTTTTTCATTTTAATTTACCTTAATCTTAATTTAAATAGCTACACATGGCTAACAGCTACCACGCTGCACAATGTAGCCCTAGATCTTAACTGCCATCATCATAAACATCGAAATCCTGGACTCTGGTGGTTGTCAGGGGTTGGGGGTGGGGGAAATGGGGAGATGTTGCTCAAAGCATACAAACCTCCAGTTAGAAGAGTAACAACTTTGGGGATCTGAGGTACATCATGGTGACTGTCGGTAATAATACTACATCATATACTTGAATTTTGCTAAGACGGTAGGTCTCAAACGTTCTCATCACAAGAAAGAAATGGTAACTATGTGACAGGATGAAGGCAGTAGCTAATACTAGGGTGGTAATGATTTTGCAATTTATAAATATATCAAATCAACACATTGTCCACCTGAAACTCACACAATGTAATATGTCAATTGTATCTCAATATAGCTGGGGAAAACACTGGACTCTGCGGGCCCCTGTGGATCTCATCTCTTTGGAAAAGTATGTTAGTTTGATTAATGACAAAGAGTAACTTACCCAATAATGAAGCAGGAAACGGCAGTCCCCAAGAAAGCATAAGCCAGAATAGACCCAAGATTTCTGAAAAAGTGTCTCTGGATAAAACAAGAGGCAGGAATCACATTGTGATTTCTAGTATTGAGCATAAGAAACACAACAAAAGTCTCTTAAAAGTGAAACTTGACTTACGGCTTCCATTATAACAAGTAATAACTGAAGTTACTCCGGAATAAAGCTATTTAGCTATAAACATTGTGGTTTTAAAATATCCCTAGTCCTATTAATCACTGAGCAAGCAAGCAAGGGCTTAGTAAATTTCAGAGAAAACTACTCTGATTATATTAAGTTACACTGAGAAAGTGTATGTGAGTGTGAGTGTAACAGTGTGTGTGTGTGAGTGTGTGTGTGTAAGTAGACCGATCGTTTTCATAGATCTAACCCAAACTATTTTACTCTTTTACTCTAGTGATTCAGCAAGTCACTTCCAGGTCTAGTGTACCTTAGAAGATCATTATAGATAGAAGTTTGAAAATGATGAAGTATGAAAGTGCTGCCTAAGGGGCTTTCTGCTTAATTCAGTATCAGAAAACTGTGCTAAGTATCTGGCCTCATGGCATCTGAAGTGTCTCCTGATATTCTTCTGGATTAATCTTTGGAGCCTGGGAAAGAGGGCCAATAGAGATGGAAATGGAGAAATGAAAAATAGATAGTTCCATGTAAGATGGGCAAATTTATAAGTTTATATATATGTATATAAGCATATATACTTATACCAACACAAGATCTAGCAATTATTCAGAAAGAGATGGTAAAATTGCAATCCTCTCAATGCTTCTGTACATTCACTGGTTACCTTAACACACACACACACACACACACACACGAATTTACTTCTCATAAAGTCATTAAGCCTGTGGGATATTCTGATGGGGAAAATCCCTGTTCCTGGGACCTTAAGGCACGGTTCTTACTCCTCAAGGCACAGGCTGTTCTCATTGGACAATCAGAACTATTTCACAAAACCAGACAAACAAAAACCCCAAAACAACCTAATATGATAGGGGCCGGGAAGACTTTATTTAAAAATTTTAAAAGGCGAGGCACCTGAGTGGCTCAGTCGTTAAGTGTCAGCCTCCGGCTCAGGTCATGATCCCAGGGTCCTGGGATCGAGCCCCGAGCCCCGCGTTGGGCTCCCTGCTTGGTGGGAAGCCTGCTTCTTCCCTCCCCACACCCCCTGCTTGTGTTCCCTTTCTCACTCTGTCAAATAAATGAATAAAATATTAAAAAAATAAAATGTAAATAAAATAAATTTAAAAGGCAAGAGAGTCCCAGTGTGCCAGCTGAGCGACATCAGGGAAGAACAGGGTCTAGGAAGAACTCAGCATGGATCAAGTAGCCACCAGGAAATGTGACCACATAGAGGGCTGTGGGTATCCTCTGGCCAGCATTCTAAGCAGACAATCTGAGGCCTTAGCTTCAGCCTTCCCCAGGGCTTGGCCCTTCCTGAGGCTGTGAAGAAGGTGTCAAGGAATGCCTAGTGCCCCTAAGCCACCTGCTCAGAAGACAATCCTTCAGGGGCTTGCCACACCAACAGTCACCAAATGAGGGTGCTGCGTGTATATATTATGGACATGTTATGTTTGCCTTTTAAGTCAGTCACTGTCCCCAGTCTTTTTTAAATGTATTTAGCCACTCGTGTTTCAAAAAAATTAGATTTCAGAAAGAAAAAAAAAGGAATCAACATCTATGAGCCTAATTGCCTTTAAAAGCTCAATCAAGGGCTTAAATCAGGGAGGGTTAGGAGTCCATCAAGATAGATGTGAGACCAAGGAAACTCATGTGAAGTATCCAGGAACACATTTTAATCCCAGAATTGCTTTACCTTGCCATTTGGCTCTCTTTTAGGTAAACCATCTCTATGGTTGGTTTGAATACATTAAGTAAATTCATATTCATATTTGCCAAAACAAAAAATCAGGAATATAAGAGCTGTGGATTCTCCTCCTGGAAGGTTAGATCTCAGGGAACGTGGGCTGCCGAAGATCTGGTAATGCTTGTGGGGCCCCAGGGAGGAAGGGGGTCCGTGTGCTGGGCAGCCCAGCTCTGAGCTCATAGCTGCTCCAGAGCCTGCACACGACAGGCGGGTCTCAGGGTCGTATGAGAGGGACGAGTTCGGACTAGAGCCTGCTGGAACCTTTATTATGCCTGTGCCGCGCTCGAGGGCATCTCGATTTTAGGGCGTGCTGGATACGGGTCCCCGGAGTGGGTGTGGGAGGGGCGATGCAAAGTGCACCCTTTGGTGCGCTTGTGCGACGTCATGGGCTGGAAGGAAGTGGGAATGAGGGAGGTCCGGGACCAACCCGGAGAAGAGAGCCCGCGTGTTAGTAGAACGATGGGTCTGTGCTTCAGATTGCGTTTGCAGGTAAAGCCGACTCTGAGCCCTAGTCTGTGGGCCTGGGGAGAAACTAGATATTGCGGGTGGTCGAGGGGTCCAGATGTGGGGGGATCAGGTGTGCACTACAGCTCCTGGGCCTGCCGCGGGCAGGACGGGCCGGGAGACCTGGGTGTAGGTGCGAGGCAGGTGAGGGTGCACCTCTAGCAGGACCAGCATCATTAAGATGCCTTCTCAGCCGCACTCTGGCTGCGCAGGGGGGCGGGGGGGTCGCAGTGCGCAGGCGCAAGGGTTGGCTGCACACAGAGCGTGCTGCTTTTCGCGCTCATCAGTGGCGTAGCGAGTCCCCGCGCGGAGAGCCTGGGCACAGACGCCAGACCTCCACCCCCTCCACGCGGCCACGGCGCCGGATGCGCGTCTTTGCCCGGGCCAGCCCACGTCGGGAGGAGCGGCTCGGCGTCAGTGCGGACGTCGGAGAAGCCGACTGCACGCTGCCCAGGGATTCTCTCGTGGTCTCATTTGTCTCAGAGATTGTTCCAGCGCACATGTGAGGGTGTTTTCCATCACAAATTTGTTTGAAAAGGAACGAGTGAAAATATTTTAAATGGGCAACGATAGGTGTTTGAATGATTTGTGATAATGGACTAGGGCCTTTGAAACTTATCTTAAATGTGTATTTCTTGATCAACAAAGATATCTTTGACCCATTTAAATAAAAGCAGTTATCACACACACATAAATTAGGAATATAAATCTGCCACTTCAAATACACCCATAACATATTCTAAAATGACACACACACATACATACACACATACACACACAATTAGCCATCGCCATTCATATTTGCTGATATGAACTGGAATTTTACACCTTGAAAAGAAAGGTGGACCATGTCACTTATTTGTGTATTATTACACCAAGTGCTTGACTCTCGACTTCACAGTTTACAAAGTACTTTCACACAGAGTAGCCCATCCAATTCTCACGAAGGTGCTCTGGGGACCACTGTGCATGAGAGGCATCTAAGGCTCGAAGGTGTGGAGTGAGCCGCCCGGAGTCACGCATCTGCCAAACAGCAGCACCAGACCTGGAAAGTGGGTCTTCCGAGCGCAGAGCATTACACTCACACCAGCTACCCTTCTCGACTCCTACCACATCCTTTTAGGGAAGAAAGTACGGCATCTCCTAGTCCTAGTCCTGGCTGCTAGTGGAATCCTAGGTCTTTCATCTTCTTCTTAATTGGCCAGTCACGTGTGGTTGCCACGGCCATGACTGGTTCAGTCTCCCCTACTTTTCCCTCTCCGTTCCAGGCCAGCAAAAAGAGACAAAGGAGATGGCATGCCCTGGTAAAGGCTTCAAGAATATGAGCCTAAAACAGATCAGGATGAGAAGGTGCGCCATTCTAAGACTTGCATTTCTACTCCTCCTCCCATTCCTCACTGGGTAATGTTACCATGAGACACAGAGCCACAGAGCCAGAGAGACCGAGACAGAGTAAGCTTGGTGGGAGAAGTGTGCAGAACACGAAGGCGCCTACAGGTGAATTCTTTCCCTGACAACAGGCCCCACAAGCAAACGGAGCTGTAGCACAAAATCAAAGCTAATTCTGATGATATTTTTTCAAGTTGAAAAACAAACAAACAAACAAACAAAGGCCCGTGTCCACATGACAACTATAGGTGCGTAGGTCAAAGGGTCTGAATATATCTGTTTCCATACCCGCAGTCAAGTGGTGGAATGGTTATTACACATTTAATTGACGGCAGCTTTAATCACAGATGGCAAAACCATCTCCAAACCAACTATTTCAGTGCCACCCTAAGGACTATTTAAAAAGGAAAGAGACTGAAGTGCTAGCAGACAGCCCGAAAGACTGGCACTGCAAAAACAACTTAAATTGCTAACTGGCAAAGCCTGTTATTTGTTTTTCTTCTGGGAAAATGAGGCTGACAGAGGGAAGGCTCTGCAGAACCTAAAGTGTTTTTCAGCCAGTAGAATGGCTTTCACAACCAGTGATTTGGTGTCATTTTAAAGCAACTATGACCTTGATGATACATTAAGATTATTTAAGATATCAAATTAGTCCTCACCCATTTGATCTGATAAGGAATTCCCAAATTCTTCACTTAGAGAATAACATTGCTTATACCCATAAAATCATCTCCTATCTGTGACGTGTCAGTAGCTGACATATAGATTTAGATACTTTGACAACCCCATAGAGTAGGCAGGAAAAAGATACATCTTTTGGTACAGAAAACCTAAATCTGGAGGGAGAGTAGGATAGATAGGTATAGCTTTTTTTTTTTAACTTTTTATTTTGGAGTAATTATAAATTCACAGAAATTGCAAAGATAGTATAGAGGGGTCCTGTGTACCTTCACTAAGTTTCCTCCACCGGTTATACCTTATATAACCATAGTGCAAGATCAAAACCAGGAAACTGACATCGGGACAAAGTGTGTGACTAGTTCTGTGTCATTTTATCATATGTGTAGATTCATGGATCCACTGCTGTGATCAAGACGCAGAACTGTGCCATCACCACCAAGACCTCCTTTACAGTCACACCCCCCTCACCTCCAATATCCCTAACCCATGGCAACCACTAATTTGTTCTTCATCCCTATACTTTGATCATGCCTAGAATGTTATATAAATGAAATCATACAGTACGTGACCTTTTGAGGTTAGATTTTTTTTACTCAGCATAATGACTTTGATGTCCATCCGAATTGTTGTATCAGTAGTTCCATTTTATTGCCGAGTAGTAGTCCACGGTATGGCTGTGTGTTTAACCGTGCACCTATGGCAAAACATTTTGGTTGTTTCCAGTTTGGGGCTATTACAAATAAATGCTATGAGCAATTACATACGGGCTTTTGTGTGAACGCAAGTTTTCACTTCTCTGGGAGAAGTCCTCAGGAATGAAATTGTGGGGTCATACGGTAATTTCAACTTCAGCTTTGCAAGAAACCATGAAACTGCTTTCCAGAGCGGCCACGCCAGCTTATATTCCTACCGGTGACATAGGAGCACTCCAGATTTTAAAACAGAGCTGAATCACTGATGATGAGACAACTATAATCTCTGAGTGGGTGCAGAACACAGTAATAAGCAATGTGGGAGAAGGGAAAAACTAGAAAATTATGTAGGTACTTTAACACAGAGATCCCCATACTTTAAGAAATACTGGCAAAAACCTCTTACCTTCTTTAGACTGTAGCCAGCGTGGAAAATAATTGGAGGCAGAAGGATGTTGAAAAAGACCTCTGGATCAAACGTTACCTGAAAGTTTAAAAAGAAAAAAGTCGGGGGGGGGGGTGTCTGACTGGCTCAGTTGGTACAGCAAGCGACTCTTGATCTCAGGATCATGAGTTCAGGCCCTGAGTTGGGCATGAAGCCTACTTAAAAAAAAAAGAGAGAGAAAAGTCAATTTCTAGTTTAATACCAGTTGGTGCTATATTATCTGCTTAATATTTTCAGCCACTGACTAAAGTTTGAATATTCGAAGCAAATAAGATAAATGTGAGAAATCGTGGACTCGTCACAAGAGAGATGCCACAGTTCCCCCTGTGGACGGCCATGTTCTTCTCCATATAGCACTCTGACTCCTGCTCTTCGTGTGTTGTTTAATATATATTAAGAAATAACAGTTGGGGCGTCTGGGTGGCTCAGTTGGTTAAGTGACTGCCTTTGGCTCAGGTCATGACCCTGGAGTCCCCGGATCAAGTCCCGCATCGGGCTCCCTGCTCAGCAGGGAGTCTGCTTCTCCCTCTGACCCTAACCCCTCTCATGTGCTCTCTCTCATTCTCTCTCTCTCTCAAATAAATAAAATCTCAAAAAAAAAAAAAAGGAAAGAAGTAACAGTTCAGGGGCGCCTGGGTGGCTCAGTTGGTTAAGTGTCTGCCTTCAGCTCAGGTCATGATCCCAGGGTCCTGGGATCGAGTCCCACATGGGGCTCCCTGCTCTGCGGGAAGCCTCCTTCTCCCTCTCCCACTCCCCCTGCTTGCGTTCCCTCTCTCTGTGTGCGTCTATCAAATAAATAAATAAATCTTTAAAAAAAAAAAAGTGAAATGGTTCTTGCAAATTACATTTTATTCGATCTTCTTGCTGAAGACAGGAGTAGTATGAAAAACAGGGAGCGTCAGAATGAGAAGGGGCTTTGGACAAGACTCAGTATGAGGACGCTGGGGCCACAGTCACGTGGGAACCAGCACGAGAGTTTCCTGCCACCTACTCCAATACTGTGCATCAAGCTGCCTCAGCCCGTCTCTTCGCCCCTTAGCCAACAACAACGATCTCAGCCTTGTCTGCTCTCCCACCTTTGCTTCGTGCAGCAAAGTTTAAACAGAAGGGATGTGAATCAACCTTTTCCTAAAGGTAACAGGAGCGAAAGTCAGCATCACCTTCTATTATGATTTAAAAGATGGAAATGGGTTGGGTTCTTTTCCCTTTTCTTCCCCCGTCCTACCCTGTACAGACCCAAGCTGCCATTTCAAAACAGCCATGAGCGTGGTGATTACACTGAATATCTTTCTCAGTTGCATTTAATTTCACAAATGTTTATGGAAATCCCAGGCATTCTTATGAGGGGTTGAGAGAGACGAGTTCACTAGGACTGCCTTTAAGGACACAGAGAAGATGGGCATTATGCTCCTGGTTGAGAATAATTTTCCTTAAGGATTAGGGTAGATCCTAAAAACAGTAAGAATTTAATTTGCAGAGCACAGGCTACACCCTGCCTTTGACCGCAAGCCTTCGCACGCATTCGCCTTGTTCTATATGAAAAGAGACTCCCCACAACCTGGATTGCCCAGAGCTTAGACAGAAGCCTCCCTGCTGATAAGCCTGGGTCTACAGAGTAAGAGACTATATGTGGATAAATACAGATCTCTTGCTTCTCTTGGAAATCACCCGAGTGAAGAGATATATGATCCCTTGGTCGTGTATTTTAGCTACCCCCAACATCAAATGAAAAACAGTTATTGGACTCAAATTCTAAGACAACAAGGTATTTCCCCTCCAAAGATTCATTAAGCCTTTTGCATCACTCACCAATAAGAATGGGCACTAAATAAGTATTTGTAGAATACGGCAAAAGAACCAGGAAGAACTAAGACTTACAGTCGGGAACACTGAATAAATGAGCTTAAAGTGAAATCGATCTCTTTTTTTTAAGATTTTTATTTATTTATTTGAGAGACCAGGAGTGGGGGGAGAGGCAGAGGGAGAGGGAGAAGCAGACACCCTGCGGAGCAGGGAGCCCGACTCAGGGCTCGATCCCAGGACCCCAGGATCACGACCTGAGCCAAAGGCAGACGCTTAACCGACTGAGCCACCCAGGTGCCCAGAGTGAAACCAATCTTATTTTAAGAAAGAAACAACCCCATCCTTAAACCATAACAAGAGACATCGTAAGGAAGAGATGGGCATGGACAGACAGGCTGAGTGGTGACGTACAAACCACGGCACAACATGGCAGCCCACGTCAGCTCCTGACCCTAATGAAGTTGACAGGCTCAAGTTCACATCTGGTTCTTTCTTCTCCTCATCATAGCCCCAATGCTTCCTAGCAAAACTGGGAGCCAGGAAGGTACCCATGCTCCAGGAGTTTGCAAGGATTTCTCTCCGCAAGGCCAAGATGGAATCAGGAAGTCAAAAATCATGTCAGGACCCCAATGGCTGAGTGTTCCCCAGCTCACCTTCCTCAGCATGTCATTCTGCTCTACACTGTTGATCTTGCCGGGGCTGATTTCTCCTTTCAGGGTGTATTCAAAGAACTTCCCACTGACGTTCACTAATAAGGTGCTGAAGGCCCTGTCTTCCTGAGTACAGCTGAGTGACTTGTCATGACCGCTGGTGGCAGGGGTGCCGTACCTCAGGATCACCCCAACGATGAGCCCTGAAACAGAGTGCGGGGGGGGGGGGGAACAAACCATCAGGCCTGCAGGACAGAAAGCACGGACATAATGACACGGTGGATTTGCAACAACTAAGAAACACAGAAGTAATCTTAGAGCCCAGGCATGAAGTGTGTATTTTAGGAGCAGCTGCATGGTCCTTCTAAAGGGTTAACCTCCTCCAGCACGAGTCCCTCATCCACCAGGAGGACGAGGTAGGACAGTACCTCTCCTGGTTATCATGGCACTGAGTATTTTTCCCAAGTGATCGTGTCTCGTTTCTCAGGCTTCTGGTGGAGGAAGATGGAATGATAAGAAGCAAAGTCGTTTCTGCCAAGGACAGCACAAAGCAGAACTGCTGAGCTTTGATCTGTACCAGCAACAGCCCTCAGGCCAGTCCTGTGGACATCTGCCAGCAAGGACCAGGCCACAGAATTTCTAGTTCCTAAAAATGCAACTTGCTTTTTGCCACACACCCGAGGAATGGGGGTGGGGGAGACAGAAAGAAAAGAAATGCTTTTGTTTAGATCATTGCAAGTACTGGGTATCATGCAGGAAGTAATTATATCCCTCAGGGAGCTAAACACCACAGTGCAAATGTGTATGATCATGGTTCCAAGACTACAGAGCTGTCTTCTTAGGGCTGTGGCTACGAGTCTTTAGGTCTCATTCCAGTCTTAGGTGGGGTTTCCCATTAGGGAAAAAAAAAAAAAAACTCAGCAAAACTATGGATAAGCATGTCATTCCACAGCGAAGGAGTGTTGCTCCCTTGGTCCTGGACAGAAGGCCCATATGCTACAGTAAAGGTGAGTGATATGTGAAGAAAACATAAATCGCCAAAAGACACTTTCTACAGTTCTGAGGAGGAAGATTTCTGACTTCTCTCTATAGTCAGTTCTTTGCTAGCGGTATTAAAAGACAGAATGCTAAAAATGTTCCCCATCTCATTTTGCCATTAATGGAGCAAGTTCCATGAGAAAAACAAAGTTCTACGTTTACTATATTCTGTGCATAATGTTCTATAATGTCTCTTATCACCAAGACATATGAGAACTCACAAGACATTGTTGAAGAACAATATGTGAAATCTAGAAAAATAGTTTTTTTAAAAGATTGTATTTATTTATTTATTTATTTATTTAACAGTGAGAGAGAGAGAGAGAGTACAAGCAGGGGGAGCGGCAGGCAGAGGGAGAGGGAGAAGCAGGCCTCCCCACTGAGCAGGGAGCCCGATGCAGGGCTCGCTCCCAAGATCCTGGGATCATGACCTGAGCCAAAGGCAGACACTTAACCGCCTGAGCCACCCAGGCACCCTTACAGTTCTTTTTTTCCCCCCAAGATTGTATTTATTTATTTGATATAGAGTGTGAGCACAAGCCTGGTGGGGGGGTGCAGAGGGAGAGGGAGAATCAGACTCCCCGCTGAACAGGGAGCCCATCAGGCTTGGTTCCAGGACCCCGGGATCATGGTCGGCTCAGGTCATGATCCTAGGGTCCTGGGATCGAGTCCCTCATCGGGCTCCCTGCTTGGCGGGGAACCTGCTTCTCCCTCTCCCTCTGCCTGCCTCTCTGCCTACTTGTGCTCTCTACCTCTCTGTCAAATAAATAAATAAAATCTTTAAAAAAAAAAAAGAAAAATACAGTTCTATAAGCCAAACTTTGTGTCTGTACTGCATTATTATTATTATTATTATTATTATTATTAAAGATCTGTATTAACAGATACTTGCAGCTGGTTGATCTTTATCAAAAAATAAATTGTAAAAGTTCATTACAAATTAAAAACGAGGTTCTTAATAATCTCAAGCAGATATAAAACAGTTTTAAAACCTTTAAAGGTTGGGGCACCTGGGTGGCTCAGTCGTTAAGCGTCTGCCTTTGGCTCAGGTCGTGATCTCAGGGTCCTGGGATCGAGCCCCACGTCGGGCTCCCTGCTCAGTGGGAGGCCTGCTTCTCCCTCTCCTGCTCCCCCTGCTTGTGTTCCCTCCCTCGCTGTCTCTCTCTGTGTCAAATAAATAAATAAAATCTTTAAAATAAATAAATAAATAAATAAATAAATAAATAAATAAATAAATAAAACCTTTAAAGGTGTAGAAGAAAAACACGTTGATCGTTACCAAAAAAAAAAAAAAAAAGGATATCGTCTTTAGGGAAAAAATAAAAACCCCATAATGCAGATCGTTCGGGTCATCAGGTTACGGGGCAAGCACTTGAGGTCTTCAGCACCGATCTTTTGTCCAGATCTTACTTGCTGGCATTTCATATTCATTTCTTCTTGTTGGGTGACTAACCGGGATGATGTCAGAGATGGTAAGCTAGCACTTAGTCTCTCCCCACTCAGCCTCAGAACGGACATCCCAGCTGCGGCCTCTCGGCCATCTTGCAGGTCAGGGTTTCCTGGGTGTCTGTGCTGGTAACTGAAGTTGGGGAGGTCCCTACACTGAGGTGGCTGCTGACCGTGGGTCCCTTCTCCTTGATTTTCCTGCTTCTCTTCATGAGAATCGCAAGTTTCTAACCCTGATGGACAGTCTGTCTCCCTGGTCTACCTTGTTCTCCTGTACCCTGATTGTCAGTGCCCTTCTCCCTACACAGGAGGCTTGGAAGACTCTGGTCAACACTCATAGGGTCTCTGTATGGAGTAAGGTGTGCGCTGCTGGGCTTGGCATCCTCTTTCTTTCCCCACCGTTCTCTACAACATTTGCTGCCTCTGCACCCTTTCCTCTGTCAGGAACATCGAACCAGTTTCTCTAGCCTCTGCATTGGGAAGGTGCTTCCTGGGGTTTCTTCTTTATGGCAGTCTAGTGGACAAGTATATATCGCTTGGTGTCATTCCTGTGGATGAAACCAGATTTGTTTCTGACACTGAACCATTTTACTATTCTTTACACTTTTGTCACGATGACCTTCCTGTCCCTGCTGGTGGGTCACCACTCCCTCCACCCTGCCCACAGAGCCACGTTGGGTGGTGGCAGGGCTGAGGAGGGGTGGCAGGAGGCTGCTGGGCCTCAGCCCTGCTGCTCAGGGTCACAGTGCAGGGGATGGTGACCAGGGCTGGCTGTGGCAGCCGCAGCTCCTCCCTGGGCAGGATGGTGATGAGGTCGCCAGAGTGGGGTTCTGCTCAAGGTTCTCTGGGGTTGCTCTCTACTCCAGATGGAGCTCGTATTGGTTTTCATCATCATCATCATTATTATTATTATTATTATTATTATTATTATTTCTTCACTCCCTGGTCAGGCAATTATTTTTTCTTTTTTTTTTTTTAAGATTTTATTTATTTATTTGAGAGAGAGAGAATGAGAGAGAGCACATGAGAGGGGGGAGGGTCAGAGGGAGAAGCAGACTCCCTGCCGAGCAGAGAGCCCGATGCAGGACTCGATCCCGGGACTCCAGGATCATGACCTGAGCCGAAGGCAGTCGCTTAACCAACTGAGCCACGCAATTATTTTCTGATCAAGTTTTACATGACAAGAGATGATTCCATAGCCCTTCAACACTCATAATGCAGGATGACCTGCAGAGTCTGAAGGCTACCTGCCACACGATTTCACTTTAATGTTTCATCAGGAAATCAAAGTAAATCATTTACAGAAGACTATCCTCCTCCCAAATCAATAGCTGCTTCCCAGAACTCAGGGTTTCTTTGCGGTATTACCTCATTGTTACTGGAGATAACTAGACGGTAAATCATGCTACCACAGGGTCTTCACGATGACTACTACTCTAATGAAAGATGAGGCGTGATACTGTCATTTAGAATAGGAAATATATTTGATTTTTGTCCCAATTTCCAGATACAGAGCTCCTAAAACCCTTGGAATGGGGGAGTGCCAAGTGTCTTTTTGTATGCTAGTAAGATGACTGGTGGTTGGAGGCTCCTGCATTATCCTCAGGATGGGAGCTGGTTGCCAAGGGAATGAACTTCATGATTACAGAGTTGAAAAATTAAACCCCGCCCCAAAACTCCAGGTACAGGAGAGGGGCAAGAGGTAGAGTTAATCACTAATGGCCAATGAGTTAATTTAACCATGCCTAAGTAATGGAGTCTCCATAAAAATCCCCAAAGTATGGGGGCTCAGAGAGCTTCTGGGTTGGTGAACGTGTGGAGGTGTGGGGAGGGTAGTGCACCCAGAAAGGGCGCGGAAGCTCTACACTCCTTCCTTCATACTTTGCCCTATGTATCTCTTTCATCTGGCTGTTCCTGAATTATATCCTTTTATAATAAACCCGCAATAAAATAAGTAAACTATTTTCCTGAGTTCTTTGAACCATTCTACAAATGACCGAACCTGAGGAGGGCGTCATGGGAACCTCTGATGTGTAGCTGGTCGGCCAGAAGCGCAGGTGACCACCTGGGACTTGTGATTGATACCTGAAGTTGGGGGGGGGGGGTCTTGTGGGACTGAGCCCTTACCCTGTGGGAGCTGATGCCATCGGCAGGTAGTGTCAGAATTGAGTTGAATCACAGGACACCCAGTCACTACCCATTAGAGAGCTGGAGAACTGCTTGGCATGGGAAAATCCCCACACATCTGGTTACAGAAGTGTTGGGTGTGAGTACTGTATAAAGGGGAAACAGGAAATTTTTTCTTATAGGAGTTTTATATTTGCAGACAACTTCCTCAATTACAGGAAATGCCCTCGTATTCTCCTCTCTCCAGTAACCATCACCATCATACTAGAAGTGCTATTAACTGATGAATATTGTTTTTATATACTGATAAAACGTTTTCCTCCCTACCTGGGCCCAATGCACCCATTTTAAAGATGGGAGACAGTGAAGGTGATGCTGCTGCCCCCTTGTGGGAAAATGTGGCAACATAAAACACCACAGCAAAGACACAAGGTCAACACTGTCCTGATAGTTTTGACCAAAATGATACCAAACAACAGGATACACTGCTAACTCAAGGCAGATTTTGAGTTACTCCTCAAGCATCTTAGATTTATATTTATTATCACTGTAGTTCATGGCACAAAGAAACAGAGTCATCGCTATGATATTA